TGCTCCTCCTCGGGCTTGGGGGCAGCCACAGGCTTGGGGGTGGCCGCGGTCTGCTTGGGAGCAGCGGCCGCGTTGGCCGCCTTCGCCGCCTTTTTGGCACGCTTCTGCAACCGCTTCTTCAGCTCTCCCTTGGAGACCATCTCACCGGTCTCCTCATCGAGCTGAAGCTTGGCCGTCGCTTCAACGACAGCGTCCGTCATGATGGGCAATTGGTCTAAAGGAATCGAGGATAAGAGGACAAAGGTCGCGTGGTGACGGTGCTGAACGACAAAAGATTGGACTTATCGGCGGGGTGGAGGGGAAACTTTCCCGTGCGTGGCTTATGTCATCCGTTGGGTGTAGATCACGTGGTGAGGCTCCGATAAGCGCCCAATTGATCTCCTTATCGTGGACCTCGACAACTTCAGTTCTGATTACTGTTTAGTTGTCACGTCGTGCAAGTAATTGACCTCGGATTGATTGTTTGATATACTCTCTATAATAGCAAACTCCAATCTTGACGGTTCTCTACAATGAGTATCTGCGTCATTTTCACGTTGTACTAACCAGGACACTGCCACCATGACTCATCCCGGGTGATTCAAATACATATCGTGGTGTGCCTTTGGCTTCGGCAGGAACATTCCACTTATATGACTCAACGTTCTACAAAGTCCATGACGAACTCTACCAAAGGGACCTTGATCTTAACTCTGTTGCTAAGAAATAAATAGTTGACTCATGTAAGCGCAATTGACTGGCTAAAGCGTGTCACCGCATGGGTATCTATCGTGTCCAAATCATCAATATGTACGAGACAAGAACGTAACTTTTATCTTGGCGACACACTATGTCGGGCTTTACGGATCGCGCAATTGCCCAAGCGCGTGAGTTCGGCCACGAAGTCTGCCACCATTGTCATATGTGCCGCTTCGTTATCTTTCAGGCGTTGTAGACGAAAGCCCTTGATGAGGTCGGGGACTGAGCCAAGAAGTTTAAGGTCTTCCTCCGCACGCGGGTCGAGTGGAAATAGTAGGATGTTGCAAAATATTGTAAGGATAGCAGACATGGGGTAGAAGGTGATCATCCTGTAGGTTATTAGGGTAAATAGTCAATTGACAGTGGCGAGTGTGAGATATAGGAAGCAAGACAAAGGCACTCACCAGAACGCCTCGGGAAATATTGAATCGATAGTCGGGCGCAGAAACAGCAAGGTGGAGCGACTTGCCTCCACCGCAAGTAACATGCTCGAGTTGATCCCCTCCATGACCCCAGTATCGGTGTTCGCCCAGGATTGACAGCGACCCGCCGCTCGATGGATCGTCACCATCAGATAGTGGTATTCCAGCCGCGAGACTATAGCTTGCATGCGAAGAAAGGGATTCTCATGAGTTTCGAAGGAATGCCCTAGGGATGGGCGGAACTTGGGCGGAACGTCCATGCGCCACCGCTCCAGCTCGTCGTCGAGCTCGCGAATATCCTGCAAGAGCTGGGCATCGGACTTGAGCAGGGACTTGGAGGAGTACAGTGCCCGATAGGCCTTTGACTTGATCACAGTCATCCGTAGGTCGGCCGGCGAGTGAGGGATACCAATATCATCAAACATGGATCTGTCGGCGCCTTCGTCTTCAAGATATTGTATCTGCATGTAATTGGCGGGTAGAGAGAGGTTGCAATATTCGTCATCAATGATCGGCGGCTGACCCGATCGGAGACAGATCTCCTTGTCATGGGTATAGCAAAGCCAGAACAAGTTCCGCAGCTGTTTGTGATAACGCCAAACTCGATCCTCGAAATCGTGTGGTGACGGGGGAGCCGGTCGCTCATTTGGTAACAGCTGGGCTCCTAAAGAAAACATGACTCGGCAACACATGGCGTGACATTGATTGGCAGCTTGGAGTTGACCAGAGAAGACTCGATTCATGGTCTTGACAAGTCAGCGTGCTTTGTACTCTTTATTCAGAGAATTTCAAATCGCACAAGAAATGTACACAGACCAGCATTAACATTGTTTGAAAGGTGGACAGGCTGACGTTGTTCATGATTTGAGGCAAAAGGTTCTGTGCTTTGACCGCATAGACGTCCGCGTCCACCGCAGGGAGGTTATCTTGAGGCCGGAGGATCATTGACATAAGTGCCAGGAATGTCATCACACACGTTTTAGCGCTGATCATCTCCACCGGTGGAGGCCCGTGGCATGGGGAATAGGCGAGGTCGACAGTCTCTCTGAAAAGTAAGGAATCGATAAGAGGAAAAATGAACCGGATGAAAGAAGAAAAGTACTGCTGGACATATTCATCTACGACGGATCGGTCCGGAAGATCGGGGACACCCGCATAGCCATGCAGTGTATGTGAGAAGGAACTGGGTGACTGTGGTGTCGGTCGTTGAGGCTGAGAGGGCCAAAGGCTGTTGGATCTCTTGTCTTCGCCGGTGCGTGACTGCACCCATTCCTGACCGTCAAGCGAGAGGCTTGGAATACCATTGTACGAGTTTAAGTCGCCCACATAGTGACCTGCGAAGTGTATCTTGCCGAAGCACAGACCACTGTTAGAACGAGGCATGTAGTCGCTGGCGGAGGGACCATTGGCCGACGTCCGTGGGGGGCCGAAACAAGCGGCCGAGTCCGATGGCCAGGACCCTTGGGAGATCAGCGAGGTACAATTACGTTGGTGCTCATTGGTCGGCATAGATCGCACCAGAAGCTGCTCCAGCTTCGTTACTCTGTCCTCGAGGTCTTCCCCGGGTGGAGGCTGATGTCGGGGGGGGCTGCCAGGATGTTAGACGACTTGGAAATGATCCGCATCGCACGATACATACTGAGTCATGGGATTGGGCTCATTGGCGGCTCTCTTGCGCTTACTACCCCCGATGGGCCTATTGAAAGTGCAGTCCAGATCATGGTGGCGGCACCAGTTGCATGGAATGGATGGATCACACTGGATCTGAAGAGCGGTCAGGCAGGTTACCGAAGTAGCAGCAAGAGGATGGATATTTACTTTTCTCCGGTGACACGAGTCACAGGCCCGGGCCGTGCGGCGCAAAGGGGGCGCCGAGGGGGCACGCTCACCACCATCCGAGGATGGAGTGGAGGTGGACATCTGCATGAATGAGGGCTCAAGGGTCTGTCTGGAGCAGCAATGGACCAATTGACATCAACGGAAATTGTCCGGAGCCATACCAAGCTCGGGGATAGAGGGGTATAGGACAGAGCTAGGATGGATGGCCGAGAGATTGAGTGGGATGCAGACTCGGTGTGCGAGTGTGAGAGGTCGGAGGCAGAAACAGGCCCGCCAGCGGCCCGCTGACTCATGCCGCTGACTCAGTCTAGCACAGCCCAGCACCAATCATCGCTCACTCCGAGCATCCACTGTCGAAGCGGAGGCCTTCCCCTACTCAAGGTGGAAATTAGTCCCGCGTTGTCCGAGTAAACTGATGGTGGAGCTTAAACCAGATTTGGCACTTTATACCCATGGTTTGCGCTAGGTCCTCGACGTCCAGACCTGTTCTTCAAGACAGGGTGGTCCCTGCATCAAGCGTAGACATTCCTTAAGCTGGTCGTCCAACACACGGATATGGAAAGTATGCATGCCAGGTGGTGCTTAGGACCACATGAAGGTTCGAGACGAGATAATCAAAAATATCTCAGAATCTTTTGTAATTTTCATAGTGTTTTCTAACAGGGTGATCTTTAAATTTTGATTTTTATATAAAAATAAAGATTCTGTTATAATTGAAAATCATTCTTCTATCTCTGGTTAAATTTGAAGAAAAAAGACGAAAATGAAGAATCCAAAGTGCACTAGTAGGCTGTACGGACAAGCAAAAGAGCTGATAGCTCTTAGCATCAAAAAAGCATACTAGTGACTTTCATCGACATTTCCAGGACAATCGATGAAGATTACTGAAGATACAAGCCTACAAAGCACAAAGAATGTTAGACAGCCATATAGCTTCTGCTATATTCCCCAGGAGATAGTGCAAGGTAGCTTAGTACACGAGTGGATGAACCACAAGTTTAAGGATATTTTTCACTTCTCCGAGCTGTAAAAACTCCCATCCGAGCATCCCCAATTTTCAAGAAATTTCCTCACTTCTGTAAGCTGCAGAGAATTTTCCATCCGAGCATGACCTATTTATTTAGCCTTTTGCTTCTTGTCGCGGGTCATCTCATCGGTGCCAGGCTTGACCAGGTGGCGGGGACACATGTGAGGAGACCGATCCTCCGGCTCCCTTTTCGCGGGACTGCATCTCACATTGGTGCCCGCGCGTGCCTGGCATTGGATGAATTTCGAGTCTTTCTGGCAGCCACAAGTGTGCTCAACGTAATACTGGGTGCACATTTTGACTGACTGAATCCCAGTTAGACTCGAGAACAAGTTGTTTTCTTGAAGAGGTAATACTTACTTTTTGGGCTCAGATGGATGGATCCTTGAGACTTGACAAAGGCTTCCGGCTCTCCAGGACTGTATTTAGATTCATTAGTGCCCACAGATCATCAGCGTTGGCTTTCTCAGACTTACTTTGAATATCTTTGATAGACTAGAATCTAGTAGGACAAAGAAGCTCTTCTGGGCAGTTTGCGATGTAGCTAGATTGGGGGGGGGGGATGAAGAGATGGACTAGATGTTTGGGTAGATAAATGAGCTTGTGGGTGTTGATGATCAGGTCAGGGGTTGAGTTGTAGAGGAAGGCATTCAACACAGAAGTAACAGAGAAAAGGTCAGGTCAAAAGACTCAGGTTTGTTCACATTATCAGAGTAAGAGATCCACATCTCTTTTTCTGTTGACATTCACTAGAACAAGTGTGTTACAACTTCTCACAGCTTCTCCTTGACGCTGCCTATCCTGCCACTGCCTAACTTTCACTAGCCAACATCAGTCTTGAGATTTCGACAGCAAGACTCAAAAGGTCTTGTCTTGGGCGGTGATAAGACAACTTGAAGGTATGAGATTATTACAACAACCACCGGTTGAAGCTAACGAAACTTTGAATACTTAGCAAAGTGCCCAGTGCGAAAATGGGTAACTCCCCAGAGATCAAGTTACTCAACAACTGTTGCGACAAGAAGACCGAAAGCTACTTCCGTCTTCTGGTTGATGACAAGCAGATCAAATACCTTACTGTCGAGCCGGGAACCTACAAGAATGCTGAGATGTGCTTTCCTCCAACTCTGTACACCGTACTTCCCAGGTTTCCTGCTGGAAATTGGAACGATGGTGTTGTGGCCAAAGACGAAGACGGTCGCCCCTACTTTACATCCATCAACCTGACTGAGTTTCCCGGCGTCGAGAACACCTGGCATGAAACCTTTATCGACTATATGGACGTTAAGCTGGATGAACGTCTGCATGGTGAAACTCATGAGGCCAAATGTCCACAGTTTGACGAAACGGTGATCGCGAAATATAAGCCCTGGCACTTTTACATGCATTTCATGGAGAACGAGACTACAGTCTATCAGTTGTTGGACGGCCGTGGCATTGGGCCTCGGTTCCTTGGCCATTTGACTGAATATGGTCGTGTTATTGGATTTTTGATCGAACGAATTCCCGATGCACGCCACGCTGGACCTGAAGATATTGATCTCTGCAGGGAAACTTTGTCTCGGCTACATGCTTTGGGACTTCATCACGGAGATACAAACCGACACAACTTTCTCATCAGCAATGGAAAGGCTATCCTGATCGATTTCGAGTTCACCAAAAAGTGTGATGATGAAGACATGCTCCAACAGGAGATGGAGGGTTTGCCCGCTCGTCTCGCCGATCCTTCACATGGAGGAGGTCGCGGTTCTACAGAAATCTTTTATGGGACTTACGAAGAGATGATGGATCCAGACTGTTTCTAAAAAACCTGTGAACCTTGTCATGAATGGATCTGGCTGTTGACTTTCAACTTTGTCTGCTTACTTCTGTGTTCATGATTGATATGATGACTGTACCTTTCTTTACTTGTCCACATTTATAATGGTTCAAGATAACTCTTTAGTTACTTGGTGCATATCTACAATCATCAAAAGATATCTACACCATGTTTCCAGTAGTCCAAAAACCCCGGGGTTCTACTTCTGATACTCATCCTGCCACCGCACGCGCTGCACAAACTCCAACAGCTCCCTAAGCTTCCTATTTGATACGGGCGCCTCTCTACCCACCAACTCCCTCGTAACCGGCACCCCAGGACAGACCCTCGCCAAAAACGCCTGCGTCGATGGCTCAAAATTTGTCATCTCATCATTGACCGCATTGAACACCTGAAACCCCAGCCCATCAACAACCAGCCCCCTCTCCACCATCCCCCCTAGATCCCTTGCATCCGTATACGCCCAACCATGCACCTTCCACTCCTCCGGCCGCTCCACATACCCCCTGAACTTCTCCGGGAATTCCTCCGGACTCACCACCGCCCCAAACCGATACACATAGACATCTGTCCCGGGAAACCGCCTCGCAAACCCAGCAGCCGTCTGCTCCCCACACACCTTCGAGATGGCATACGCATCCATCGGCTGCGCGGGGACGCACTCATCCACAGGGAAGGAAGCGTAATCGACATCGCCCTCTGCGAACGCCACCCCGTAGACACAGATGGACGACGCCAGGAGAATCTTGCGGATGCCCATGTGACAGGCGGCTTCGAGGACGTTGTAGAAGGCCAGCACGTTTCCGCGATACGTCTCGTTGTCGGGGACGATCATGTTGCGCGCGTAGCCGGCGAGGTGGATCACAGCATGGGGGGTCTGGTGGAGCGGTTCGCGGAAGGGCTCGGTCAGCGCGAAGTGCGAGTGGAAGGCGCTGTGGACTTGGCCGGTGTCAGTGAGGTCGACGCGGATGGTGTGCACCCGGGCGGCGAGCGGGGCTGGGAGCGGGTGCAGATCGAGGTTCAGGATCGTGTAGTTCTGGCTGAGGAGGTGAGCGATGATGAACTGGCCGGCTTTGCCGGAGCCACCCGTTATGATGATGCGTTTGGACATGGTGGTTTGGGTTGATATGCTGCGATGGTTGAGGAATTGAGGTGCCAGTGGACTACGTGGTGGTTTTGTTGATATGGAGGGGAGGAGATGCGGGGTTGTGGGGGTTGCGGGGGTTTGCCGGAATGGGCGGTATGTTTATTTACTAGGTACCCGCGGACGATGATGGCTTGAAACCTGAAAGAGATAGTTACCTGGACTTGTGCTTCATTTTGATCAATGCATATATTCCCAATAAAAAGATTGTGTGCTGTATGCTGTGCAGCAATTATACCTGCAGGATCCAAGCTGACATCATTAGTGCCAATGCTCTGTAATGATCCGCTGCCAATTCATCCCGCCTACCCCTCACATGACATTACACCAACATCAGCTAAACTAGCTCTTCCACTCCTTTCGCTGACTTTCTCACCTTAACTCACGCCCCTCTCTTCATCCACCGCGGAGGAGATATACTGCCTTGACAACAATAACCACAAACCTATCACAGCCCCACAGAATGACCAAACCCACCAACCGCCCCCGCATAGCCTGCTTCCATGGCGGCGGCTCCCGCGCGTCTGTCTACGAAGTCCAATGCAGCCACCTCGCCAAGCTCCTCGAACCGGACTTCGAACTCGTCTTCTTCGACGGTCCCTTCTTCCGCGACGCGGGGCCCGGAGTCCTCCCTGCCTTTCGCGGCTACGAGCCCTTCCGCTCCTGGTTCACGCAGGATAATAGCTCCGGCATCGAGCTCGCTGACGGCAGCGGGTACGATATGACCGGTCGGGATGGCGTCGAGCGGATCTGGAAGCTGATGCGGGAGCGAGACCAGGTTAACCCTGGTGGGCCTTGGGTCGGGGTGATGGGGTTCAGTCAGGGGACGAGGCCCGCGGGCGGGTTATTGCTGGATCAGCAGCGGAGGGTTGCGAGCGGGGAGTCAACGACATCAACGACACTGGGGTCGAGCTTGAAGTTTGGAGTTATGTGTATGGGGGCTGGTGCACCTATGGTGGCAGAGAGTGCGCATCGTATGTTCATTCTCCCCTAACAGATCTCTGATCAAAGACTAACTGTGATGCTTGCAGGGGCAGAATCTGACGCGGAGCTTGTCTCCATCCCGACGATACACGTGCATGGCCTGAAAGATCCGGTGCTGCCATTGAGCCGACATCAGCTGGCGACGTATTATGAGCCTGAGCGGAGTGAGCTGTTCGAGGTGGATTATCATCATGCCATGCCGTGGGTGAAGCACGAGGTCGAACATCTGGCGTATCTGATCAGGGCAGCATACAGAGAAAACAGCTGAAGGGGGTCGGAGACATTTCAGGGATTGGAATATGCACTCGAAGAAGGAATTAAGCTTCACAGATGGTATTAATCACGGCCACGCCAATGTAGCCAATAGACTTTTGCTCATATCTCATATCTCATGCTAAATCAGGGGGCAGTCTTGCTTTCTTCAAACATAGCAGGAGGGATCCCCTCGTCTGCGACTGCCTTAAGGTCATCCTCCCCCATCTCCCCATCCCAACCGTGCGCAACCAAGTAAGCACGGAACTTCTCATCGCGGACTCGCAGATCCTCCCCGGAAATATCCTCCACGAAAAAGTACGTCACCAGCACCCCGACCACACCGCAGATCGCAGCGATGATGAACGTCCACTTTTTGCCCAAGTTATTCTCTATCGGTGTGAACACCTGCGTCCCGATCGCACCGCCCGCCTTGCCAAATGCGGCCGAAATACCATAGCACGTACCCCGCACACCGGTCGCGTACATCTCCGACGAGAGCAGGCCCAGCATATTCCCTGGACCGAAATTGCCGGAGCTCTGCATCAACCCGTAGAAGATCACAAAGAGGGGGATGATCTTGGTGATCTTATCGTATGCACACCCAATAATCAGGCCGAACACCAGGTAGCCGGTGAAGCCGATCATCATAATGTTCTTGCGCCCGACGCGGTTGCACAGAACGGCGCCGAGGAAAACGCCGGGAAGAGCAATCACGCCCAGTAGGAGCTGCCATTCGCCGGTCTTCATCACGGAGCTATCTTTGATGACGGAGGAGATGATCGTGCCGGAGAAGACGCCGTTGGGAAATGTTACAAAGTCTAAAAAGATGAGGACATCAGTCAAGGGCTGTGGGTGCTGGTCACTGGAGAAGATGGAGGCTACACACCGTACAAGAACCAGGCTCCGCAGGTTCCAATCAGAGACTTCCAGTAATATTTGACCACAAGGATGTAGGGCACGTGCTTCTTGATCGCGCCGCGGCGGTAGAGGGCGGAGTTCATCATTCGGAACCGGAAGTAGAAGACGGACAGCGGCCAGATACAGCCAATACCGAAGCAAACGCGCCAGACAGTGCTGTAGTGCGACTGGTGGCAGGCGGAGAGGACGATCAGGAAGATCGCGACCGCGAACGGCCCACCAAACGAGAGGGGGAAATTGGTCACCATAATGAAGGCCGGTCCGCGTTGCTTGGGGGTCAGGTCGTTGGCAGCCTCGGATGCCGATGTGGATGAAGCAGGATATTCGCCACCGGTGCCTGCCGAACTTCAGCTACTGGGTTGAGGTGCGAGATGTGTCTGCACTCACCAAAACCAACTATACCACGCGCTACCGTCATCATCCAGAACATTCCGTCGATAGTGTACCCGTTCGATGCGGTGGCCAATATTCCGCCGACCACGATCATAGCCGTTGTAAACACCAGAGCAGCCTTGCGGCCGAGGTAATCACAGGTGAGTCTGAGTGGGATTAGCGCTGGAGGATGACTGGGAATTGTTGTGGTGGCTCTTACCCGATAACAATCTGGCCGATAACCTCACCGACCAAGAGAGCGTTGGAGACTCGAGTCTTGACAGCTGAGGTGTACTGCTCCTTGTATTGACTGGCAAGAAGCACGTTCACCATCGTCCTAGCCAGCGGTTAGCTTTCTGAGACCATTTAGACAGGAAACGCCTACATCAAGTTGTTCTGGTATCCATCACTGATCAAGGCAAAGCCGCTGGCAATCTATGGTTTATGTCAGTATGACTGGTCTGTAGGACAAGAGACTGCAGAAACTGACAATTGTGATCAGGTCCGAAAGAGTGCGGCGCTTCTTCTGGGCTTCCGCCTCGGAGATGGTCTCTCCATCATGGGAGTTGGCCTGAATGACAGTCTGGAGATCTCCTTTGGGAGCAAGTGAGGAGTCTGGTGGCGCTGACATGTTGCTAGAGTACCGCAAGCGCAGCGATAGAGTCGCACGAAACCTTTGCAGAAGGCTTGCCTTTGTGGTCAGGAAAAGTCGGCACGAAAGCGAACAGCCCGCCCCTCGTGCTTTATATCCGGGTTTGGAAGCGAATGGCAGAGACTATTGGTGGAGGCATGCTGGATGTGACCTTAATCCTGTTGCAGTAGTCAATCCAGTTAAGGCATTATCGGTGCTATCTCTCAATCAGCATATTGATTCATTCCTTGTCCTGCAGCCACTGGCAAGCGACTAAACTGGATATAGCCTGGGCCGGCCTACTTTACTACCGGACCAATCATAGAGAGAAATCGGCCCGTTCCCACCCGGGGAATACCCTCCAATCACATGACACGACGACTGCACGTTCCATGTTGTGGGCGAGCACGTGTAGCTTATCTTCGCTCTCATCTCTTGCAGTGGTGTTTGTTGATGCTTTTCCCATCCATCAACTGTCCCCACGGCGAAAGCTTCCAGTTTCTTGGCCTGCGCTTGATGACTCGGGAGGATCACCTATTGGCGTGCAGACAGCCAAGAATGCGCCCACGTGAATCAAGACGCGCCAACAACGCCCTTCCGTAAGGCTGTCCAAGGTTATGTGGCGGGCCCACCACGAGTCGTCCGGTCCAGATGGGAAAGTGCTCAGACGATGAACCATGTTTCCTCTTATTTGCCCTGACTCGGGTCTATTGCTCAATGAACTCGTTCCCTGTGTCACACCAGTCAGGAATCGGCCTACGCACAGTCACGGCTGACTACACGTCGAAAGGCTTGGCAGAAACCGTGAGCTGAATGCATTGTATTCCCTCCATCTACTGACATCCTGCAGCAGTCGCTCTTGATCTAGTCTCCGAATCATCTGTCTCCACCTTCATCACAGACGGGTATCACAACCGTGATCGCGGCCCACGGTGGTGTCTATGCCACGCCTTCATTTGCCAAGCGGGCACATCGGCTGGACCCATAATCTGTCGATGAGACCAATGACCGATTGTCTCTCCTACTGTGCTTACCCGCAATGGAACGCGCAGGAAGTCATTGTAGCCCGTTGCCCTCTCCCGAGACAGGTTGGTTCCGGACGCCGACGCCGTCAGTCCGATGAGCGGAATCGATTGCAGTTGGGGATCGTTACAGAAAGGTGGCTGCGTGCGGATGATGCGGACCAGCTCGTAGCCACTAAGTCCTGGAAGTGAAGTCTATACGAGGTGTCAGTGGTCGTTCCAGTCTGAACAGTAAACGATAGGGTGACCCGGCAACACGCCTTTATGAAGATGATATGTGGTAATGTAGGGGCCATGGCCAAGTGGTCAAGGGCTGCTGTGCCAGAGCCGATGACAACCACCTCGCAACCTAGCTTTTGGCCGATACGATGACACAACTTCTGAACGGCAAGACTAGATAATAACAGTTAGGAATCGTACCTGCTGCAGCTGCGCAGTGGGGGAGTCTACTTGTTCTCGACGAATAGGAGCTGCATTTTCAGGTCCTGATGATCGCTGGTGCATCTAAGAGGTTTGGCGTTACTGCCAGAAGTGGGCTGTCAGAAGTGAAAGTGAGCAGGGTCTGTCGCCCGATGAGATTATCAAAGCTGATGAGGCTGTGTCTGGTCCGTGCACTGCATCGGATCAGGTGTGGCCTTGGCGTGGGTAAAGACCATCCTGCAGTTTGATGTAGTTTGGTGTAGATAGCAGACGTCGCGTAGGTCTAAAATTTCATCACATAGAGGCAAGGGTCGAGCTTCTTTTCTCCAAGTCTCCAATTAACTGCTGCATTGACTCCGTTACCGCCGGCATCAACGACTATACCTGGTTTCACAGCATTCGATTGTTAAGCATACCTACACCTTCCAATGCGATCAATAAGGAGCTCCTTGAAGTCACCTTCGATACCTGATCTGTCAAAGCAAATGTCATTCTGTCTTGAACTGCATCATGTCATCTTATCTCATTACGGGCAGCTCAAGAGGGATTGGGCTGGATTTGGTCCGTCTTCTGGCTTCCAAGCCGAGTACAGAAGTGGCAGTGGTCTTTGCAGCCGCGCGAACACAGACCGATGCATTGACAAAATTGGTTGCGCAGTCTTATAGGCGCGTTCATCAGGTTAAGATGGATGTCACCGATGACCGAATCATCGCGTCGGCAGCTGCGACCGTCGAGAAGGTCTTGGCTGGTCGGGGACTCGACGTCCTAGTTAACAACGCCGGTGTCATGCCATTTACACCCGTTGGGATTGAGACATTACAATTTTAGACAGGCCGCTATATCAACTCAGTTTATTAAAAGATATTCACTAACCCTTAGCTAGGTCAGACTTAGACTCCACGTTCCGCACCAATGTGACCAGCGCCCATATGGTTACAAGTGCCTTCTTGCCATTGCTGAAACGAGGTACTCTGAAGAAGGTGGTCAACGTGTACGGACTCCACTGCTCATCTATGGTTAAACGCTAATGTGGGATCCCAGGTCCTCCACCTTTGGCTCCATCGCCAGGGCGTCGAGATTTGTCCGTGCCGCAGCCCCGGCTTACAAGTTCACCAAGGCGGCCCTCAGCATGTTGACCGTACAATATGCCCAGTCTTTTGCTCGAGAAGGTTTTATCTTCATGATCATCTCACCTGGTGTAAGCCACCTTTACTTATCATGTCTCGTGTTCGAGTCCTCACTATATGCAGTGGGTAAGAACAGGTCTTGGAGGCGACAATGCCGACTTAACGCCCGAGCAGAGCGCCACCGCCGTATTCGATCTCATTTCTTCTGCGACAAGCGCCCACAACGGCAGATTTTATGATATCTTTGTGGATGGGTGGGGCTTCTACGATGGCGCCGAGGTGCCATGGTAGCTAGAATCGGTGCCTGATGCTCAGAGGCCAAAAAGTGGAATACCCACAACATTTTCCTCGAAGAAGAGACAGTACTGACTAAAACGACTTTATTTGGAAGGTGATTGAAATCGGCCTTGCTCCGATTCCAGCACCACGAATAGCAATGTACCCATTTGGCTTCGACTTATTTGAGCGTCGCGAATTGTTGTCTTCTTCTTCCACATCCAATCGACCGTCTCATCTTCCTGCTGGCTGTGGTCTGTTGCCATCGACTTGCTCTCCCTAGAATTTTTTCTTTTTGGTGTTACACTACCTCTCAATCAAAAATTGTATTAGCAATTGAAGGATCACGGTGATGATCGTATACGCACGGTTGGTTAACTCTGCGCCGAGTACGCTGTCATGCGACTGGTGAACTGGCCGAGGTAGACTCAGAGAATGCCGGGCAATGCAAGAGTTGAGGCCAATGCAACCCCACCCAGAGGAGAGCTGGAAGAAGGTATGTCTGTCAAACCACTTGCTTACAATTACAAACTCAATACCCCCGCTCGACAATTAAGGTATTTTGATGCTACATTAAGACTTGCCTGGCCTAAGTACGTCAAAGGAGATTCGAAAGCGGGGTGTTGTCGATCGCACGGCAATATCGCTCCCTACGGATCAATCCCTGGCCTCTTAACCTTAATGAAACCTCCAGTCACCAGATCTTGACATTGCCTTGCCTGTCTTACTCCGAGTATCATCGAACCAGACGAGACTCCTTGCTTCTAATGCCATTGATTGTTTGAGTCTTGATTATTGATATTCCTCGAATTATATATGGATCCTATCCCCCTTGATAGTGATCTCGATCTGACAGGTCACATACGGTCCATCCCATTCTGGCTCGAAGTCCCTCGTTTGAGCACAATCTCTGCTGAAGTGGATAGCTTTGACTGAGACATCTACTTCTTGGCAAGGTCACACTGCATCTGACTGTTCAGGTCTACATGCCAGAATACGAATCTAGGGTGCTGTTGACGTCGGACAGATCTGGCCAGAAGCCACGCTAGCCGCTGTGCACCGCCTAAATCACCAACCCTTCAATATTGTGTAACCATAGCGAAGGCCACTTTCGTTGACATCACACTACGCGTTGAGTCTAGACAGTATGTTGCCAGAATTATCATCAATGGATCTGGGGTGGTAAGTTTGGAGTTCGCAGAATGGTTTTCGGGCACTGGATGGGTTTCGGTCAGGACTCGTATTATCCGCTCCGCGTTGGGAAGTATACGAGCTTCCGCATTCAGAACCCTCGCTTCCCATTATAGCAACCTCATCACAACCACGATGTGACCTACGATGAACACAGTGCGCTTTCACCAACTATATCGAAAGATATAAAAAGAGCTCACTCGGCCATCTACCGTCACTCATCTCAAATGATCAAGCAATCACTCCCAAGCCCTAACTACAACTAAACTATTCGCTCATCAACTCTAAACCTGCTCATCCATCCTTCATCAAAATGACCAAAATCATCGCCATCCTCGGAGCCCTTGCCACTCTTGCTCTCGCAGCTCCATCTCCTGCAGGCGACGTCGTTCCTCGCGCCTGCACCACTATTCTTCCCTCCTCTATCGATGTCCTCGATAGTGCCCACCCGAGCACCGCAAACGTCGGCCAGCGATTCACCCTCCGGCGCTCTGGCTCCCCAGGTTCCTCAGTGACCAACAAGAAGATATCTGCATTCACCTTTACCGACATCCCCGCCGGGGCCACCGGCTGCACCCTCCAGGTCAATGTACCACCGTTGACCGCAGCCAACCAGATCGCCAAGGGCTCCAACCAGGCAGAGTTCTGGACGACCAACGCCTGGACCGCCGCGAACGCACCGACCTGGAACAACCCACCAACCCGCGGCCAGATGGTCTCTACCTTTCAGTTTCCGACGGAGGTGACCACCACCCTGACCCAGCAGAACCTGGCGTCGAATACCTGCTCCAACACGATGAGCTTCTTGGCGCTGCTGAGCGATTGGCAGGGGGCGGAGGGACAGGTGGATTTCACGCAGGGCGCGGATCTTGGGTTCAAGTTGATCTATAACTGCTGATCCACCTCTTCTCAGGAGTACCCAGTAGTCTGGGGTCTGCATGTGGTTGGTATGATGGGACGATGATCGTGTTATATAGTAATGTGATGGGGGATTTCGGGGCTGTTGTGTCTGTTGATTTAGCTGATCGAAGATGCGTCTATCTAGGCATTCTCACGGAGAAATATAATCAAGGAAGTGGAATAGTGAGCTGCGAAACTATAGTCAGCTTCCAGAGTATAGAATGGATTCTTTGCTCTATTTGAGCTGTCCAAGAGACCCGCTTCGGGAAAGGTAGAAGTTGCTTAGGGAGGCTTGTAAATGTCTAGGTTGTGAAGATGGATTTGACATCGGGTGCCGAACAACATGTGACTCGGGTTTGATGATACATTAAAAATATTGAAAAGTATGATTCCAGAGTCAGAGCAGTCAATAGAAAGTCTGGCGTTGAAAAAAGCATGCTAATTATAGTCACGGACAAAGAAACCGCAGCACGTCTGGCTCGTTCCACCAGCTCTTCCTCTTTCCTTCTGTCCTTCCTTCCTTCTTTCTTCATGCTAATAATAGCACTTATCAATTCATTAATCTTCGTTCCTCGGTCTCTCCATCACCATCATCACCATTATCAGTCGAATTGAAGTCACCATGATATCTGCAATAATATTGCGGACACGGCTCGGTGGGTGAGGCTAGCAACAGGTAGGAACGCAGCGCCACGGTCAATCCGTCCGGACAGTTGCCAGGACCCTGAGACTGGGGATCGATTCCGTCACTGAATCCTTCGACTCCTTGGCTCGATCACGGGACTATTTTCCCCGTGCAGGATTTGTTGCTATTCCGAAGGATTGTGCGGGGTAGGTGAAAAGCTTATTGTGCCCAGTCTTCGTTGCAATTATCGTCGCTCTCGACTCTCGCAACTCGTGGGAGATGACATTGATACTGGAGTATACTCTCAGCATGGCTTGGAACAAAGTTGAACTTCAGTTGTGTGTCTTCTAACAAGCTGACAGAGGATTGTTAGAACCGTCTCTGCTCTAGACTGTGACATTTGCACGTACCTTCCCCAGTCACAAGCTGTTCTGGCAAGCAATAATCGCCAGTTGTGCAAACTTCTCACACATGTGGAATGAAGCCCGTCCATGCCACCGTTTGGAACGAGCTGACCGGTAGTCGCCGCAGACTGATGAACGCCTCGACGATGATATACAACCGCGCAGGAACTAAGCACATGCTGATAAGCGTGGAGATTATATCGAGCACCCACGGTCGCCATCCTGGCGGTCGCTCTGTGGGTTGAATCCAAATATAGGTCAGCGACCGGTGACCCTTGAACCCCAGAGCCGTCAAAGCCACCCGCACCGTGGTAGCGAGCGGAAGTCCGGACGCCAGTACCAGGGCACCGATACGCCACAGTAGCCTCTCCGTCGGGGTCGGGAACAGGTGGTTCCATCCCAGACAATGAATGGCAGGATGGACCATCGCTTGCACCGTCACCAAAATCCAAGTCTGCCGGCGCATGTTGATCACTGGAATCTTGTCGTCGGGCATGCGCTGCAGCGGTCCCTCCTCCAGGCCGAATTTTTCCAGCGTGGGCCGACGGTGCCACCGCTGCATCGGCTTCTCAACGAAGTCTAGGGGGGTGTGCTGAAAATCTTCCACGGAGACGTTACCACCCTGATTCAGGATGGCGTTGACACTTCCGTATTTGAGGTCGATGTACGTGGGTACGCTGACATTCTGCGGCTTGTGCATCCAGAAATAGTAGCTCATCATAGTCGACAGGACGAATCCGAGCGAGAAGAGCTCCAGCGGGGTCACGGATAGCCCCTGGATGACCCGTGCGATCGCCTGTACCGCCAACCAAGCGGTTTGGACCAAGGCTACACATTTCGCAAAGACATCGGCCTTGCTCTTGTCCCAGATCTCCTCCTCAGTGATAGTTGGGCACTCGATATAGTCTGCCTCCACGAGGTATTGGAGGGCTGCGGAAGTGATTGGAAAGGGGCGGTAGTCGATCGAGCGCAGAACAAAGCCTCCGCTGTTGGCATAAAAAGCGTGCTTCAGCGTCCAGTGCTTGTGTCCCATCCGATGCATCTGCTCGACGGCTTGCTGTGCGGCCTCCCACTGCATGGCCGAGAAGTACACCAGTAAGTCCGGAGCCAAGATAGCCAGCATGCCCCAGCGTATCTTGCGCATTATTGTCACCATCAAGCTATCGTTCGGACCAGGGATGTTCAAATGCAAAACGGTGTACAAAGCTGTCGATAAAACCAAAGCACATGACCACAGGATGTCTATCGACCCGCGCACATTGGGCGCGTCGACCCAGCCCGCTGTTTCGGTACCATTGCCGGCCATCATGCATCAGCCAGGTTGTTACTCGAGGGAAGAATCTGCTATGAGCGCAGAGCGGACAAGAACTTGGCACAAAAGACGCGCGGATTGCTCAGCGACTGTCTCGGGACAGACAGCGGTATAAATCAGATTCTGTCTTTCCCCTGCCGCTATGTACAGTACATCCCCTCACATGGAGCAGACACTAATTCGCGACGGACTCAGCTCGCTTGGCTTTTCATGCACAAAGTGTCGCTCAAAAGAGACAAGCGCGGTTAGATGGTGAAATTGACGATCAAAACACTGCGTCCATCTAGTGCCATGCCATTTTTGCGGCACGCTCGATCCACCAGAATTGTGTCTTTCCCGGGTCTTACTATCGATTCTCCCACGCTCAATGGTCTATTCCGCTGTGTTGATTGTTACACAAGTCAAATTCGGACATGCTATCGGCTAAAAAGCGAGACCAACCCTTCCTCCCTCACATGGCATGCTGACAGGAGGCGTGAAGAATGCGACCATGGCAGAAGGTGGTCAGCGAGCAGAGAAAAGTGGAGCAGAAAGATAACGGAGCTGCACGGGGATTCACGGCTGGATCAATTGAGTGTTGAGAAGCATTGGGGTTGACCCTGACTAAGTGGAGATCGGCAGGTCTGAAGGAAGGATGTCCCTAAGAGGAAAGGATGGACTTGCCGGCACTATTTTAGAGCCTTCCGGGCCTGCTTAGAGGCACGAAGGTGGATGTCGCTTGTCCACCCTCACTCCTCCACATTGGCTGTTGCACTACTTGGGGGCCAAAAGTAAGTCTCCACCGTGTCGGATGTTTTTCTTCAATGGTGCCAGCCCTCATCTAATGGCAATTTATTTTCGTTATACTCGTGTACGTCTGGACCTGTTTGGTCGCACAACTCTCCATGAGCACTAGGGTACTCGAGACAAAGGCTGAAACCCCGTTCTCCTTGCTGCCCCAGACAGGGTTCGTCTGCCCTTTCCACGTGCATCTCCGCGACCACCGCATGGCAACAAGGTTTCTACGTTAAGCGAGCTGATCCAGGAAATCATAGATAGGTATTCAGCTTGTCCTCGTGTACCTGCCAGTGCTGAGACCGCGCATGATCCGGTTCCGTTGTCCTACTCAAGCTCTGTGGCAGGCCTTGGAGTCTGAGACATGTTCCAATCACACATCATTCGAGACTGAGTCAAGCAACACAGCCAAGCAGGCTGGGATGTTCTGCTTCTCTGGGCTCTGGCATGTCAGCAATTAGAGCTGTGGCCGATAGCAACCTCCCCTCGATCACTGGCCTAGCCTCCAGTGTCCCGTTCAAATTAAATTGATTGTGACAGGTACAGTCCTTCCTATTTGATCACTAATCTGTTCCGACAGGGGTATCCCTTGAACCTCGCACTACCCCTCCCCTTCTTGGCGGAATATGATGATCGTCTCCATTTTGGGCCTCTGAGGCATGCGGGCTGTGCTTGCTGTAGGTCATACCTTGAACATGTGGTACCCGGAAACTCTGGTTGCTGTGCTCGACCATAAAAGATTGCTAATATTGCCAAGACGAGGTGAGTATACACTAGGTTGCACACTCTCTTGGGGGCGGAAGTCAACCAGGATATCACCATCTTGCAATCTACAAACCTTCATTGCACACACCTGACTGGAAGACTTGACCCGCTTTCAGTAAGAGGAGTAGTGATGATGAACGTTTGCGGTATGGCTCACAGGCTGGTGACAGCCGTCGCTCAAGACGGGCTTTGATTAGTTTTTACGGCACTTCATTTCCCCTCAATCATTGAGTCCTGGCTGGAATAACTAATCATGACTACCAGTCCCTCCACCATACCATTGATCCGCAGCCCCTGCCCGAGTTATATTACAAGATAGAGCTAGTCTATTTTTCACAGCACTTTTTAACAGCACGTGCTCTGGTCAATGCTGTAAGAAACACAAAAGAAATTGACGGCAGATGACCCCTAAATGGTAAGAGAGTGTACTAAAACAGGGAAGTGTGTTGGTGATTGGATATGATATTTGGGAAAAGGAAACTACCATGATGCACAAGAGGATTAACATGAACGGCGAGCGCACAAATCCATCTGATACTTCATATCATGAGAGCATCATCGTATGCTTTGTCTGTAAAGATCCGGAGTCAATCAAGCTTAGGCTCCGCGCGAGCGTTTCTGACGGATCGACAAAGCTTTCTTGCGCAATCTGAACACAAGACTGCGCTCTGCTCCGGTACCATCAGGAGTCGCCTTGGACTTGGGAACTTGGTCGTTTATCTGATCACTGTCAGATTGCGTCTTCCCATCTTCATCCCCTTCCAAGTCAGTCGCAGGAGTTGACTCACCGGCAGGGATAATAAACCAGTCCGCCTCGCGCAGGAGCTGTGGGAACCGCTCCGGGTTCAGCTTGGTGCCCTTGTACTGCATCACGGTCCAGCATCGGCGCCCGTCAGGCAGGAAGTCCTGGTGGGTGCCATACATGCCGGGGATATGATACACTCGGGTCAAGATAGCGAGCCCCGTGGCCTCGAAGACCGCCCAGCCCGCGATCTCTATATCCACCCCCCGGCCATTATATTCGACGGGGACCACGCTATATAGCACCGCCGGGTCGAGGATGTGCTTCTCTGGACTGAGATGTTCCGCGGGGACCGTGCAGATGCGGTTGAGTCTGCTGTCGCTGTGGCTGATGTTGCCTGCCACTTCGTCCCGGAGTTCCTTGTACCATTCGTCATCCTGGCGGATTTCGTCCAGGAGTTCAAAGTACTCTTCGCCCTTGAGGGTGCTGAGCCTGTCGCGTTTTTCTTGGAAGACCTGCATTTTGTGTGATGTCGGCGGTTTGATATCTTGTAGATATCAAGATGAGAAGACGTCGACGATGAAACCAATGGTAGGGTGGTGATGCAGTCAGGTTGAGGGCTGAGGTTTTATTTGATGTATCTTTCAAAGTGTCTCTCTTGAAAAGATTTATCGGCATGGGCAGTTTGTGACTGTCTTTGTGATCTTGATGGAGATATCCATCTTCTCCTTGTGGAGAGAGTTGTGTGTTATGGTAGGCCTGGTGAATTCTTTGTTTTCTCACTAGCAATGCCTTTGCAGAAATCAGTCGGAGAGTGAATGGGTGGTACTTTGATAGGGAACAACAATGCTGCACAGTGGACAGTTCTAGTCCTAGATCGTGTGTTATTCATTGTTAATGCTATCAACAGGTATCAGGTCTAACACGGCTACGACAGGCCGGCCTCCTCTGCACGTTCACAACAAGTGGCAGGAATCTTCTTTGAAGGGCCACTGGTAATCCTTTCATGACTGCCATTGCAACAACTATTTGAATCTTGCTACTGACTTTCTATAGATCTCAAGCTTACTCTGGGCTTGCTCATAGTTTTGTTCTGACTCGATGTAAGACTAAGAGCCACCAAGGCTGGGATCAGCAGCCATGCCATCTTCTGACTCGCCAACTTCTTTTAAGTCTCACTTGTCTGAATTGGCAAAGTGCTCCTTCCTATATCTAGGTTTGAGAAATGACTGGGAATGTCTTATTTGCTCTGTACCTACTCCTAGTACTATTAAGCTTACGTTAAGTACTACTCTGTAGCATTTGCTGTGTAGTATAGCTCTAGACTCGGTGCATATACATGTCAGTCTTGTGGCTGTGCACGGCACAGGATAGGACAGGCAATACCAGAGCCCAGTTTCAGTTTTAAAGACTTATCACAAGGTGTAGATGTTTTGTCCGCTAATACTTCACCTTGAGAGTCGCTCTAGTCTTCTATGTAAGGCTAGTGCAGATAGTATAGTGGGCTGTTTGGCTTAGGCGGGAGCAGGACGCAGACTACTTGCGATCGGTGGTGTCTATAAGTGCAAATCATCAATATCCGGGTATATTGCAGAGTCAGTTGAAAACTCTCGGCAAATCGTCTTGGTGGCGCAATTGGTTAGCGCGTACGACTGTTAATCGTGAGGTTGAGAGTTCGATCCTCTCCTAGGACGTTTGATTTCTTTTTTCCTTCTGGGAAGAAGTCATTTTGCTCCACCCTTGTACACCCACAAACATCCGTAGTACAACTCTACCAGTAGACATCTCATGATATGGATGGTGGCACAAAATTAACTTTTCATTGACGCTGAAATCTCCGGCGCAAAGCTTGTTTACCCCGGAAGAGTGGATCCCCTCATCATCCCCCGTAAAGCATACGTCATTCCCACCCACCACCACCTTCCATCTTCCCCCCCGGAATTCCTGTATCAATCACATTCCCATTCGACTCTCCGTTGTCCTGAAGTCTATCCTACACGCACGTGTATCTGAATCTCAGTATCTCCAACGCACGCGGAATCGCAAACCGCTATCATTCTCCGATGTCCCTCTCCTTCCAGGACCTGGGGACCTCTTTCCTGGGCGCCTTCCAGGCCTGCGTCTCCGTCCTGCTGACGCTCGCCTACGGCGTCATCGCTCGCTACGCCGGCCTCGTCAGCGAGACCTCCATCAAGGATGTCTCGGGTCTAGGAATCAAACTCTTCTTCCCGGCATTGATGGTCGTGAACCTCGGGTCGAATCTGCATCTCTCTAGCATTCTGAACTATCTTCCTATCCTGGGTATGTTCCCCTTCGCCTTTTCCCTTGTTTGCTAGTGGATGGGCTGAGATACTGATGGCCGTAGTCTGGAGCACCATCGTGGTCTTCGTCTCCCTGGTGATCGGCAAACTCGGCGAGCGCGTCCTGCGCCTCCCTGCCTGGGTGACGGCCGCGTGCGCGTTCAACAATACCACTGCGCTGCCGCTGTTGCTTATCCAGTCGTTGGAGAGTACAGGGAGTCTGAAGCGGTTGCTGAAAGCTGGGGATACTGTGTCCGATGCGGTGGAGCGGTCGCAGAGTTATCTGTTGATCTGTGCGGTGGTGAGTAATCTTCTGACGTATGTGGTTGGGCCGAAGTTGTTGCAGCAGGCAGATGCCGGGGGTGAAGATGCCGAGGGGGGTGAGGGGGGTAATGGCGAAGGCCGATCTGAGGGGGAGGGAGATGATGGGGATGGCGCGGATGAGCAGAGTCCGCTGCTTCCTGCGTCCGTCCGGCGGACGGGCGCGCAGATCCGGGGCAAGTCCCGCGCGGCCTGCGCCCCGCTCCTCCGTCTGCTTCCTGACAAGCTGAAGGAGGAGGCGCTCTCCTTCGACAGCCCCACAGTACTGAATATGCTGCTCGGTCTGTTCCTCGGCGGCCTGCTGGGCCTGACACCGCCGCTGCACCGCGCGTTCTTCAACAAGAACGAGGACGGGGGCATCTTCAATGCCTGGCTCGTGCTGAGCATCAAGAACATTGGCAAGCTGTTCACTACCCTGCAGCTGTTCATCGTGGGCGGAAAGCTGGGCGTCAGCTTCCAGAACATTCAACGCAGTGCGAAGAGCGGGCACGTGCCCTGGCGTGCCGTCGTGTTTGTCTTTCTCGTGCGGTTTGTGCTATGGCCTGCGTATGTTTCCTTCTTCCTTTTTGGGGCGCGTGACGTGCATTGCTGACGGTACGTGGGGGTCTAGGATCAGTATCTCGTTGGTGTATGTGTTCGCCGCGAAGACGAGTCTGCTGGGCGATGACCCCATTCTCTGGTTCAGTATGATGCTCATGCCGACGGGGCCTCCGTCGTTGGTCATCTCCGGGCTGGCCGAGTTGGCGAACGTCTCCGAGGAGGAGAAGCTGACGGTTGTCAAGGCTTTGACGGTACGTTGGTCCTCTCGTGCTCTTGTGTGTGGTTGCGGGTCGTGCTGACTTTCGGGGTTGTAGAGCCAGTATTGTCTTTCGCCGTTTACGTCCTTCACTGTAGCTGGGGCGTTGCACGCTTCGGAGAAGATTTTTGCGCAGTCGGCCAAGTAGATGACTGCCTGGCGCTGACGTATAAGGCTGTGCAGATTGTGTCTTTGGGGCAGTATATAAATATGGGAATATATCTTGGTGATAGAGGATGTTGGACACGCTATGGTCCGGTCAGATGGTATAGGGGTAGATATAGAGTTGAATACATTCATACTGTCGATATAGCCAACTAGCAAATCCTGGGGCAGTCCACGATAGCAGGAGCTCGGAGTCAGTCCTAGGGTCGAGATCACCAGAGTACATGCAAGCCAAATCACAATATCCACTGATCAAACACAATCCCCGGCTCCACGCTTCCCCAGAAGTCCATCTCGTCCCCAAGTAAGCCCAACCCATCGGATATTAAATCCGGCAAATCACCTATCTCCGAGGGAGCGAACGGCGCGCTCGACAGCCCCGATTCCAACACCTCATCCAAGATCTGCAAGAGGACTTTACTCGTCCGCTCGCACAGCAGTCCGTGCACTTTGTCTGTCTTCGCGATGGATTCCAGGTGTGACAGGAAGACGCCGAGGTCGCGGATTAGCGCCGCCCGTGATCCTGCATAGGGAAGCGGCTGGCCCGTGCGGCTCTGGGTCTGCAGTGCTTTCACGAGCACACTGGCGCTGGGAAAGCCGTAGAGCAGGATCTGTGGACACGGTAACAGCCAGTCACCTAGATGTGAAGGCTTTTTGCCAAAGAGCGTGTCTTACAGCCAAAATGAAATCACGACGCAAGTCCACCGTGGCAACCTCCCCGTATGTTCCTAGCGTCAACACCGTCGAGAGGATCTGCGCGCTGACCTTCAGCAGTGGGCCTTGTGCTTGATTGTCTTCGCGTAGAAGCAGCCTCTGCACGAGGAAGTCGTCGTACAGGTGCGTCAGAAGGGTGACCGTCAGCATGAGGCGCGCGCTGACGGAGAGGGTGTCCGGCTCTCTCCATGCGGTTGCGGGGGTTCGTAGGTGCTTCGGCAGTGAGGACCAGGTTTTTCTGGAGCGGAAGGAGATGTTCCTAGGTCTGGGTTAATATCTCGATTGTGTGTTTAGAAGGCCGAGGGGCTACCTCAATTGTGCGGCGGTGTCGGCGCTGGGTGGGCGGAGAGACAGTTCGAGAATCTCCTCGCGCAGTGTGCTGAGCTCGAACCGTACGCGGATCCAGGATGCTCGCTGGAAAACCGGGGGCTCTTGGAGGTTCCATCCGCTTACGTCCAGCGTCCTGGTGATTAGTTGCAGGTGTGCGTTGTCAACCGTCAGTATCTCGTCTGCGAGGTCCAGTGGGGGCTTGCAGTCGGAATGGCGGATGGAGATACGCGGGGGTCGGCCGAGGAAGGTGGCAACCGTTTTGTCGAGCTGGTACGCAGCGGCGAATATTCGTCGTCGAGTTTCGGCGAGGAATATCGGGAGATCTTTGGATTCGCGGTGGAGGCCGAGCTCAAACAGGGTAGTGGAGAGCTCGCCAAGTCGGTGCCCTGTTGTAGAACCTATGCAGGGTCCATTCGTCAGCTTTCCATTCCTAAGCCAGATTCTGGGTTAGCGCACTTGTATCGCCATGCAGCAAGCCAGACAGAAGTAAGCTCTCGTGTTATAACCACACTGTCAGATCATTGGTCGGCGTAAGGAGTCGACAGACTTGAAGGACCGTGTCACACATTGTCATCATTCTTCGAGGGAAACGAGCCTGGTAGTCTGGACCGAAATGTCTGGACACCTTGCTGTGAGCCAGCGCGAAACAGCTGGCTTTGCCGGCGATGGCACCAATAATGGCGATTATCTCGAGTCGAAGCTGGCGACTGGTGAACAACTCATGGAATCCACTACCCTCTGTTGTCGGTGGAATCGTCAAGCGCTTGCTGGTGTTGTTGAGAACGGACGTGGCCGTTGTTGTGTCCCCTAGTAAGGAGGCTAATACGTTCAGGATAAACGGGGCGGGTATGGCGGCCGACTGGCTGAGTCGGTAATACTCCTGCACTAAATGCTCGATAATGGGCAGATCTTTCAGCCAGCGGAGGATCTCGGCCACTTAGTGCGCCCAGTAGGCGGGCAGTGCTTCTGCAGCCTGGGTCTGGGTGGGCATGGGCGGCTGCTTGTCGGTATCCCGAGCCTCTGCAAACGCATCGAGAAAGCTGGTCGGTCCCAGATACCCTGCAGGCAGGGGTGTTTCAATCGCAGGGTTACACGCAGACGCTTTGCACGGTGACGATTCTCGATCCGGCCCTTCGACCGCGATTGCGTCTGTCCTAGCTTCGTGTCGGTCCTGTAGCCTTGTTTCACTGTCAATGAGAGCTTTGATCAAGGTTGCAAAGCATCACTCACTCCTGTGCATTTCCACCGCTTGAAATGCTCCTTCTCACGTCTTTTCTCTCCGACTTGCGCGTCAAAGGAGCGGGATGATAGAAGCATTGTGTTGCCGTATCCCGTTGGATGCAGCGCGAGCACACAGGGATTCCATGGTTGCAGCGTACCTTGTCCTTCCGGCAAGGCTCACACGAAGCAAACTTGCCATTTCGTCGTCGAACGTTCTTGCCTACTCCTGCCATGGTGTCTGGATCGGTGTTCTGATTCACTGCGAGGGCCAGATCTGACGTGTGGTATCTAGTTGGCGTGCGTTCTTCGGAGATGCAGGACTGACATGGAGCCGATGGTACGGAACCATGCGAGGGGTGGAGCCCCTGTCTACTCTTCGAGGTTCCCCAGCCACCACAGCCTGTAATATCATGAGGTCTGCATCCTGTGGCACTTTGGGCGTGCCATTGTCATGAATGTTTACTTGTCAAGCTTATCGTTGTTCCCCTCCATTGGTCCGTAACCGGTTAGCCTTCGGGACTCGGCGTTCGGAGTCCGGAATTGAGCCTCAGGCATTGGAGTATGTGCCTGAGGCACTCACTCATTGGCCTCGCTGCAAAGGACCTTGGGAGTCAGCACAGAAGTATAAGATGACAGGAGCTGGTCAGCTATAGCTCAGTTATCATTTGACTCTATATGGCTGAGTCTCCCGGTCCCGACATCTTGCGCTCTCAGTCACTTTCTAAAAAGATTCACTGTGACTTTACATAGTTGCAACTGCTATAAATTTACCAGTAAGTCAATATACCCTTTCTGCATCTCGATTCCATGATTCCTTGAGACATAAAGCCCAATGCTGACTCTTCTCGTTTCTAGATACTGGCAGCCATGTCAATGGAGCGACTCTCCGTCGTCCCTCGGCGCGAGCTAAGTCACACTGCGTGCAGTACTGAACGGTCAATCACCGAGTCTAGACCAACTCTTCCATATCCCGTGTCACCATGATCAATCGACATGGGCGTGGCTTGGTCATCTAACCTGGTTCTTTAAGCATGGCAGGTCGTACCTTATCCCGGTGCCAGAGCCAGGGCTGCTGGGGCGGTATTACCGGGGAATGCTGAGGGGCATTCGGTGTCTCGGTGTCTGCTCCGAAGCGGGGTGGAGATCGTCATATAAAGCTGGCAGCTGAGGTTGGAGCTGCAACTGCCCCTCAGCTCTCAACACACCAATTGATCTTCTCCTCCCAACTCAACTATTCAATCTTTTGGCACTATGACTCTCACCGGAAGCTGCCTCTGCGGCAATATCACCTACACCGCTGAGAGTACGTTCACCCCAAACCAAACAGGACCGTGAGCTAACTGAGTTTTCCGCAGCCGATGAGTACCTGAAAGCGCTCTGCCACTGCACTGACTGTCAGAAGGTGCGTCCAGACGAAATCGCATACGGGTCATTAGGCAGGCTGAACTAATCTCCTCCAGTGGACCGGTGGCGCCTTCACCTCCAACGCAGTCGTTCCCCGCGAGAGCTTCAAAGTCACCAAAGGTACAGCGCAGACAGACTCCAGTCACAGTCCTTCAATCATTCCTAACGCTCACAGGAACACCCTCCTCATATGACGTTGTTGGTGCCAGCGGAAAGATCAACAAGCACTTCTTCTGTCCGACCTGTGGATCCAGCTTGTACACTGAGCTCGAAGTCATGGCCGATAAGACCGTGATCAAGGCGGGTACTTTGGACAACGGCGACACCAACCTGGGTGGGAAGGTGGATATTGAGTTCTACGTCAAGGATCGACCCTCGTATCTGGCTGCTGTAGAGGGCGCCAAGCAGGAGCCGCGCTTTGGTTAAGCGGTCGGTAAGTCGAGTTGTTCATGCTATACGAAGTTTTGAAGTTATCAGAATGAATACTCATGACGTCTATTCGATTATGAACTACAAAATTCAAGCATGCTAATATAGCTAGGCTCTGCAAAAGAATATTTAATGTATGAATTTATTCTAACTCTAGTGTAGGCTACTCTAGAGCAGCAGCAATTCTGCTGAAAGCCAAGTCCAGGAACTCCACTGGATGCGTAAAAACAATCCTGAACCACCCATCCTTCTCTGACCCAAACAACGTACCGCTGGCGAGGAATACCCTCTTCTGCAGTAGCCGCTGCATCACCTTCTCGCCCACTACGCTTCCCGCCCCTTCAGGATGTAGCTCCACATACCGCTTCCCGAGGTTTACCCACAAGAAAAACGCAGCATTGCAGCCAGGCGCATACTCGATGCCCAGCTCCTTGAGGCGGTGCGTCGCATACGCATACGTTGTAGACAGCTTCTCTTGATTCCTAGCAATGTACTTCTCCGTGAAGTCGACATCCTCGAGGAGTAGTGACGCTAGGTGATCGGCCGTCCCGGAAGTATACGAGTATAGTGAGATTCCGCCCAGAGCCGTGTGAACTTCCTGGTTGAACTGGGAGATGATCACCCCCATTCGAAGCCCGTTAGCGCCAAAGTCCTTACTCAGGCCCCAGAGCACATGGACGAGGGTGGGGTCGATGATGTCGGTGAGGTCGATGGAGAGGGCGGATTCAAACGCTACTGGTGCCGGGACCTGATCGACAGTGTTCTCCCACACGGATAACGCGTAGATTTCGTCGCTGATGAAGTGCATCTGGTACTTCTGGCAGAGTCGCATCAGTGCGATCAGCACATGACGTGGGTAGCACCGTCCCAGCGGGTTGTGCGGGTGACAGAGCATCAGCGCCTTGACCTTGCGGCCAGTGTCGGTCTGGAATCGCAGGAGAGCCTGCTCATACTTATCGACGGCCTCGAGGCTGAACGGGTCGCAGTCGTCGAAGGCGACCTGCACCACCGACGCGCCGAACCGGAGCGAGAGGTCGGGAATGAAGGTCCCGTAGAATGGACGGCCGAGGAGAATCCCTTCCCCGGGGTCAGCAAAGCTCCAGGCGACGTGTTCGATGGCCGGGGAGACCCCGTTGGTAACGACGAGGTGATCGGCCGTCACGGGCATGACGGGGCTGAAATGCCGGTTGATGAACGCAGCCATCGCGCGACGGAGTCGCACAGAACCGCCGCCGCCATCGTTGTAGGTGAGGTATTTGGCTGGAAGCTCGAGGGCGCGGTTCAGGTGTTCCAACAGCGTCTCGTGCATCAGCGAGTTCTCTGCTACGCCGACGTTGACGTAACCATTCGGGTTGGTCGTCTCGCACCAGACATCTTTCATCACGTCCCATATGACGTTGTTGCTGGCCTTCTGGATCACATCCTGCGCCCTATGGGACATCGCTGATGTTGGGGGTGTTGTTGAGGCCATGGCGGTGTGGTCTGGTACGTCTGGGGTTGTAGCAGGTTGTAAGGACGAGGAGAGCCCCGGATCTAGTGACTGTATTAGAGGTCTTCAAGACAGCCGATGACTCGCATCAACACAGCTGGCAGGACCCGTGCGTCCAATCAAATGCTTATCACTGCTATAATATGTAGGCAAGGCCCGTATCACTGAAGAGGAGCAGTCCGTGTCGGATTCAAGAACCGGTATTGAGTCACATCTTATCGACGGATTTCTGCAGGGCGCAGACTCAGGTTCGGTCGGTAAGGCGCGGGACCAGAGTTGGAGATTTGGAGCAGCAGAAGTTGGTAGGTTATGCCAAGGCGATATGTGGGGATGTTGGAGACGGAGTGGATTTTGTGCGTGGAAACATCTTTGAGAGCCTGGTTTATAAACTTGGATGTCCAAGTGAGATGGTTGCGTGAGGAGGGATTTGACCAGCAGAAGAGTCTCAAGCATGAAGTTTGTGATGTTATCTATCGACGAGATATAGTGGGCGGGTGGAGCGGACGATGCAGGAGACGGGGTAGGGAGATTGAAATGGTCACCATTGGCTACTAGAGAATTAGTTTGCTTTAGATTAAGCAGAGTAGCCAGGTTCACAGCGCAGGTGGTGATGATGGAATATATACGTAGCTGAAAAACAAGCTTTCAACAATTGGGACGATGGCGCATCTGGGAGCGCGTCAGACTGAAGTACCAACTTCGGCCATTAATCTGAAGGTGGCCGGTTCAAGCCCGGCTCGTCCCATTCTGTTTTTACCTTTTTATTTGCATCCACTTGCTCAAGTTTTGACCGCAAAATCATCTCGTTTTTTTTGCCTCTTCGTCTTCAAAATTGATTAGAGCTAGCTTTTTAGGACTTAGAAGTGTCAGTCACTAGATAAGAAAATGCTTTGAGAAGCTAGTTATCCTATTCCTCGAGGTTTTCTATCGTAGCCAGAACATTCGACGGGAAATATATTTGCACTGCTAGTTTCCACCACTACTACCGAGGAACGCAGCATAGTAACTTCCAGAACCAGCAGAAAAAATTTACAAAGCAAACCAAATCAAACCAAACCAAGATACACACCGTCTTGACCCTGGATATTCTATATCGATTGCTGAACAGTCGCGATGCACCTGCCGCCTGGTTGAATTCCGCCCTTGAAATGGTACCGCGGATGCAGCAACCACTGCGCACGGTCGGTTGACCGTGGACGCCCAGCGCCGTCTTACCTGTACTCCTTCATATCCTCTCTAAATCTAACCTCCAGCTTACTTCTTCTCTCAAGCACTTGAAGCGACCCTCATAGTATGATCCATCTTGCCCCCCATGTGTCCACAATCTCCCTGGCTTCATCCACCAGACCCAGGTCCAGCAACAACTGCACCGTGCCGCGAAAGGCCGAGTCCACGGCCGATGAAAGCCACGCATGCGTATAAGCCGTATGTTCCCCAATAAAGATTGTCTTGGACTCAGTCTGATAAATTGCTGGCAGGAATTTTTCTTGCTGATCGCCAAGGGGAGATGCCCATGCCCCACCTGTGAACTCATCGTTTTCCCAGCACAGACGCTCGTATACTCCTATCAGACCAGAAATCAGTCATCTTCATATCAATGCCAAGATTCAACCCACATACCGGTGAACTCTTCATCCGCAACTTTCCCATGAAGGTGAACCATGCCCCGCTGCGCCAGAGCGACGTGATTTGCCTCTCCCAGCGCAGACATCGTCCGGGCTATATTACCAGTCGTGAAGGAAGCTAGAACCACCGCCGGGCCGGTGCTATTCACTTGATACGGGGGATAGCACATATCGCCGATACCAGGATATATGTCCTCACGGGCGCAGCCTCGGTATTGCGCATTCTTGCCGTCTTCCCAGAATCGTGTGCGGTATTGCAGCGCAACTTTACATGATTGTGTGAAATGCAGCTGATGAATGGCTCTTCCAAGGAGCTCGGGGTATTCCGGCAACTCCCAGGCACGCACCATACTGAACGGAGCAGCGATAACGGCAAAGTCGTATTGTTCTGCCACGGTTTCCGAGTCGTTTGGATCATCGCGCCAAGATAACGAGATTTTGTTTGTCGATACGTCGTGGCTCAACCCACTGATTCGACGGCCCAGCGTGATCTTATCTGTTACATGAGGTGTGAATGCTTTGGGTAGCGACTCGAAACCTTTGTCCAGAGTTTCCCAGCTGGAGGCAGCGAAATACTTGTTCCAGTATAGGCTCTCCCAGATAGGTGTGTCTTCCCGGTCGGCGATGTAATCAATTATCTGATCCTTCGGGCTCAGGAGCTGGCGCAGGTATGCGCCTTCAGACCAGTGCGTACTTCCTGCAGCCAATGCAGCCTTGTGGGCTTGAAACATCTTGTCAGCTAGGAACTCGGTATACCTCTGTTGATCGCCTTCATCCAGGTCTTTCAGCGTATGGCTCGGCCCGTCCTCTTCATCAGTAATCACGTCGAAAGGAAGGAACTCCATCTTTAACTCCGGGTGGTGGTCGGCATTGAGTCGATTGAGCCTGTCAATAAGACTGATCACTAGTCGGTGATCTTCAAACGGCAGAACCTCGGTGGTGCCGGTGTATCTGATTTTGGTGGGCAGTCGCATGGGGCCCATGTCAAAATATTGATAATCCTCGGGCGAGGTGCCATTGAGGTAGCTGGTTCGGATTCGCCCCCCTAGACGCTGGGAGGCCTCATGGATATGCCAGTTGTGCAGTCCGACTGAGCTCAGCAAATAACTGGTCAGAAGCCCCGCGATGCCTGCGCCCACGATGGCGATACTGGAATTCTTCGCTGCAGCGCTATCCACCACCGCCTTGGCGTGGAATCGCGATCGGGTGTATTCGACCGCATTGAACCAGATTACAGAGTCCTTGTCAATCTGAGACTCCTCTTGAGGATGATCTGGCGCTTGTTCCAAAGAAATAGGCGGCGACCGACCGACCACGGCGCAGCCGTGAAAGGCTAGCAGACATTGTGATTCCTGTGCATTGGAGGGTACGAACCATACAAGCCGATCTGGGTGCTCCGTACTATGCACCTCGAAGCTTCCCACTATTTGAGTTGCCTCGGCTGCTTGTTCTAAATCACAGTCTCCATAAACGATATGGAGTTTGCCTGCAAAGCTCTCATGCGCGAAATTGAGTTGGATGTTTTGAACAGACCCAGTCTCGACAAGGTAAGGCCCGAGAAATTGAATCAAGCTCGCGTCTGAGTGACCTTTGTGTGCCTTTGCCCGACCGAGTGGGAATTGCAGGCCTTGGGTGAGATCCAGGCCTGGGAGGAGAAAAAGAGACAATAAACTGATTCTCATCTTGAAAGTATACTTAAGAAGGAAAACAGTTCCAGGCTACTATAATGATGTCCTACTCTTGGAGTACAACACAGGCTGATCTCAACTCTTTATGTTTTGACCGTTGATAACTTTTTAGGTTACTTGAGCCGTTGCACCCATTACCACAACGTCATTCCGTCAACAAACACATTCCATACAGCCAATCAAGCTCCCTATGTCGGCTACATTTACTCCTACTTGCATCGAGCTCCATGCTCTGCGTTTCTCTGTTACTGAATATGTGGTAGGGAGTGGTGACCCTCATGGCAAATCTTAACTCTATTCTATCGGTGATGCATGAATTGGTGGCGATCGCCTCCGAGTCGTCTGGGTCGGTGGCACAGTATGGCTTAATCTAGGACTAACTTCAGGCAACACCGGTTTGTGAAGCCCAGAACCGACCAATGGAGTTATTTTCCCGCAGGACCAGGCGAGAATGCACCGGACCTTTCGCCTTTTGAGTTACGTGCTGCGACGTACTGCGGGTGTTTCTAAATTGGGAAGACGCATGATGCGCACTGATAATATTTCGCTATAGTGGGTGATCAGGTGCGATACTATTAGTCCACAACGTCAACAACACTTCCGTCTCTTCTACTGCGCAAGAATAGCAGCGCTGATTTTCTCAGCTAGCATGTCTGTATAAGGGATTAGCACGATTCATGTATGGCCCTTGATGCGATAATAACTGACAGACTGTGCTAGTGGGGTGACCAGGAGGCAGAATAGGGAATGCACTCGCGTCAACCACACGCAGTCCCTGGACGCCGTGAACTCGTGCTTCACTGTCAACAACTGCCATGGGATCCTCCCGAGGCCCCATTTTACATGTACAGGATGCATGCCACACCGTGATGACAGAGTTGCGAATGGCGTCAAGAATCTCCTCGTCGGTTGTCACGTTTGCTCCGGGATAGTACTCTGGGCCCGTGATGATCGACTGCAGGGCATCACTAGCCCAGATTTCTCTTGTTCGCTTGAAGATGGCCAACGCAACATCGATATCTGTCTGGCTTGTGAGCCAGTTCGGATTGACCACCGGCAGATCCTCAGTGGAGTTCGAGATGAGGGTGATATTTCCGCGAGATGTTGGCGCCACGAGAGCTCCGACGATGGAGGCGTATTGTCGTCCATCTTTGGGCTGACCCTCTGCGGGATTGCTGTAGTTGCCAACATGCGCGTCGAATGCAATATACTGCCCCTTCGTCAGCAATCCATAGATCAAAATTCCCCCCCATGGGGTGACCATACTTCAGCCTGTGGCCAGTCGTCAGGAAAGTTGCTCAATTCTTCTTGTGTTTTGGCGGAAAACTCGGCCTGATAGGAAGCCGGGAGATTCTCCCAGCCGAGACAATTGGGAGCATAGGTCATGGGTCCTTCGTGAGAAGTCTGGTATCTCAGGATCTGTTCAGTCATGTAGCTTGTATCGGTGTAGAGCTTGGTCAGTGTGTCAACGGCGACCGGGTAGGATTGAGCAAAAAAGACATGGTCCCACATATTCTGACCGACGCCAGGCAGATCTACAAGCACAGGGATATCCAGACTCTCCAGCTGATCGCGAGCTCCAATGCCGGACACCATGAGGATCTGGGGTGAGTTGAATGCTCCAGCAGACACAATGATCTCCCTCGCTGCCGACGCCGTCCAAACCTTTCCATCCTTTTCAACCTCTACACCCTGCGCATTAAGCTGGTCATTAAACAAGATGCGCCGTGCCAGAGATCGAGTGCAGACAGTCAAAAACTGCTCTTCATCAGCAAGACCTAGAAGAAAGTCCGAACTGCTACGGCGCTCGTCCAACGGCGAAATCTCAGCGGCAGAATATTGCGTTCCCATCAGACTGCCACTGACGAAGTCATTGGTTTCAGCTATCCCAGATTCCTCGAAGCCCAATTTCAACCAGGTAGAAAACGGCGACCTGAAATTGGTGTAAGAGATCTGAATCGAGCCCTCGACGGGGTTCTCGGATGAGAAAGCACTGGCATTCCAGTGAATAGACGTGTTCTGCAAGCCTTTGTCTGGATTGGGGGGTGTGAAGTGGAAGGTTCTCTCGAAGAAGGGTAAGATCTCGTCCCATTCATAACTGGGGTCTTGGACGGCTTCTGCCCAAGCGTGATACGTCGACTTGGTACCTCTGTCGTCCGTTGTTAACAATCCTGCATAAGTGTAAGGATCGACATGTGACTGACCGCTGGTATAGCATGGCATTCATCGCCGACCTATAAGCCCACATTAGCTCAGCTGACCGCGACACGGGGATTTCCATCTTACGAGCCGCCGAGAGTTTTGCCCCGTGCATAGTGCAGCTGACGGTTGTTCGCCCCAGGCTGAGGGGTAGTGATCACGCCCCAATCGACGCGGGGATCAATCGTGTCAGGGCTCCCTCCAGTTACGGCCCCAAACATGAGGGGGATAGTCAGGTTCGCATTGTCGAGCTCATAGATCCCGCCGGCCTCGACGATCAAGACGCTGTGACCAGCCTGCGACAGCCGAGCGCCGACCACGTTTCCCGCCGTGCCACCTCCGATGACGATGTAGTCGTAGACCCCATCCTCACCACAGGCACCTGAAACAGGGCTGACCAGCACCAGCACCAGCAGCAGCGGCAGCAGGTGAGCAAAAACGGCAACTAGCAGCAGCATGTTGTGCCCGATTTGAAAAGCCGTACAGTACGCCGCCCGGTATGCGGGAAAAATCCAAGGAAGGGTCTTCCTGGTGGTCATCCCCTGCCCCCTTTCTTATACTGCTGCTTTGAGCCACACACGGATTCGGGATTTGGACGAGTCACATTCCGAAGCAGGGTTCCTCGCCCTGCAATAATGCCTGCCCTACATGCGACCTGCCGCCGCCGATCCCTGGGTTCCCTTCCGAGACGGGGCTCGACGGCAGTCGATCAATTCTTTCTGTTCAGGTGGATCCAGTTGCCTTGCTTGCTGGCTGCCACTAGTACAATGGGGTAGAGACACAACATGGCGACGCTCAGCTGAGATCTAATCAAGAACTTGGATCTAGTGTCAACTGCATTTTCATGGACACATGATCAATGAATTAGCGCAGTAAGCGTGGGGTTTTGGGTGCTAGTTTCATGTCCGCACTTGATTTCTGCATTTATTGTCGTTCTTTGGTGATCAGTGCTTGAAAGTACGGTGTGGTAGAAACGCAGATATTCTTATGCTAATTTCTATAGTCATCGCTGATACGTGCAAGCATGCAGTGCGCCAAGGAATTCAAGCAAGAAACCTTGTTTACCCATTATGTTTCTACCAACTCCCAACGTACATAAGACAATCTCGACAACCAACACCAAACTTGGAACGAACCTAACTTACAGCGTAATACTTTGCACTCACACAAATGATCATAGCTGGTCTGCAAGAACTTACTCCTTCTTTCTCGAAAAGGCGACAAATACAACCACAGCAAACACGAGCGACAGAATGCCTGAGCATTGTAAGAGCACGACAGCTAGCATATTTTCTCCCCAGAGAAAGACTCACCATAGATAAAGTTCAAATCCAGATACCCGATCTTATCGACCAACAGGCCCGACACAATCGGGCCCAGGAACATGCCGATCGTCCAGCCCATCCACGCGATGGACTGGGCGCGGGAGTGGCCGCCGTGGGGGCCGAAGATGCCCGGATGCTTGGCTTCGAGTTCGTTGATGGTGACTATACCCGTTCCCAGACAGACTAGGTCAGTGAACTCAACTTCTATATCGCAACGCTCGCGGGGGTGATTCGGGCCAGAACTTACGTGTAGCTTCTAGGAACCCCACACCGTTCAGCGCCGAGAAAAAACACCCGATGACCACCACGGCCGCGGTGTAGAGCGCTTTTCCCGTTTGTGAATCGCCGCTCGCCCACGGAAACCGCCCGTCTCCGGGAACCCCTAGCACCCAGAGGCACGGGGTCAGCAGCAGGAACCCCAGCGTCGTGGGCAGGCGCGTGCCCACGCGGTCCTTCAGCCACCCGCACACAGGCGTCAGGAGGATCCCGGGGACTTGCAGCCCGACGAATAGCAGCCCCGCCGGTAGACTGCCCCAGCCGAAGATGTCGCGGATGTGCAGTGGCAGGGTGGTGTCGAAGCTGGCGACGAGCATTGCGTAAAATGTGTAGGCGGTCATCGCGGCGGTGAAGCGTGGTTGACGGAGGAGGTAGCGGTAGTATTGGAGGCCGGCTTGTTCGGGGATCTGTGTCGCGGCCGGGTTTGTGTTGGGCAGCGAGGTGGGTTGCTGGTGATGCCATGAGTCGGTGGGGAGCGTGCGCGGTAGTAAGGGCGCGCGTTCGGGGTCGGAGTTGGAGGTGAGGTGTGAGCGTTGCTTGTGCGACGCTGTCGTGTGCAGTCAGTATATGAGAGGAGAGGCGAGGAGGTGAGCAGGGAGTTGAGCGGTCTGACCTGTTGATTCGTCGGGGTTGCGCTCGATCATTAGCAAGCGCAGGGCTGCGTCGACAACGAGGACCGCGAAGGCGCTGCTCCATGCCACCCAATAGCCTCCTCTCTCTAAGAGGATCCCGGAGAGAACGGGTCCCGCGGAGGTTCCGACGGCAACGGTCACGCTCAACACTGACATAACTTTGCCGAAGTTGTGCGCTGGGAAGGTCCGGCCGATGACCGCCAAGCCTCCGATCCACATGCAGTTGTCGGCAATGGCTTGGAAGAAGCGTGCGACGAAGATGACAGTTACTGTTGTGATTAGCTGGTTGTAAGGCATCTAGTAAGGGCTCTAGGGAGCCAAAAGATCAGGATGGAGGAGGTTGAGACGTACTGCTACGTGCAAGTGCAACACTGACTGTACACAGTGTCGCCAGAGCCACGGAGAAGAAGAGAAAGATCGTCTTAGCACCCCAGCGATCTGCGAGCGTGCCGATGACAGGGCTGGACACGGCAGACGTCAAGGCCGTTTCTGCCAATACGAGGAACGTCACATTCTGCGTCTTCGTTTTGTCGAGGCCAATGCGCTCTTCTAGCATGTAAGGGAGGAGGGGGATGATAAAGCTCCAGAGGAACATGCCTGATTATTGGAGATCAAATTCCGTGCCTCTCTGAAGGGCCGCGCAATGGTTCGCGGCATAAGGGAACTCACTCCGCATGATCCCTCCGGCTACTGTAGCTAGGATGAAGTTTTCAGAGGACCTCCATCGGTATCCCCATTGGGTCGCCCGAGACCTGAATCCAGTCATTATTCAATTAAAGCTGCGATAATGATCCGTAAGATTCGAGTGCCGAGTCTACCTTGGGATTTATAGCAACATGGAAGCTACTTTTCAGAAGCTGATATCACTGGATATGCTCGGTTGGATATGTCCTTCCTTCTGATCGGCTACCATCCATCAGCTCCTGTGCGACGTCGAAGGCCTTTGCGGTGGGAGACATCAGGGATAGTCGTGACGATCGAGGCCCTTCGTTTGACCAAACGGGCAAGATACAAGAGTCCTCGATCTAGACCTGCTGGCGTTGACAGGCACAGAAGCCTATATTATGCTCGACGTTCCACAAGTATAGTACACCACGACTGATTGGGTGGTTTCAACCAAAGTAGGCTAACAGAAGGTGACCTCAGACAACAGGCTCCTTTCGTCACAGCTCCGCTTGAAGCGGCGTGCAGCGGGGATAAAAGGCATCACAGTAGGACAACCTGCCGAGCCGATAGTCATATCCGTGACTTGGAATGCCGAGAATTATATCAAGACCGGAACTCCTCTTGTTTTGCTCACAGATTCTCCAGGGGGAAGGGGCCGTTTGACGTCACAAAGAATTGAGCAGCTGACTGTGAAAACGAGCAAACGAACAAATCAAGTCACGGAGTCACGCAATAAGCATCAAGAAGCACACCACATTAAGATGATCCATGAAGTTCATAGTTCATACTCATCAAGGGGACTGTTTCCCCTCCTGCCACGTTGGGATGCCCCTACATTCCTCGCCACGGAGTATTGCTCTTGCGACGCCAATCGCGTACCTCAGAGACCTTCCTCGAAACCTCCCATAGCGTCAGCTGGCATTATGATGTCACATCCTGGAGTAGAGAATATCGTCCGAGTACCAGGTTCAGCATCGTGCGTAGTATAAAATGCGGTGTTCAAGATACCCGTGGTTGTTATCCAAGTCAGTCGTCTTGCGCATTCGCATGCAGTCAATATCCTGTTGAAGCAGTCAAACTATTTCCACCATGATTCTCTCTTTATATCCCGAGCCCGCGAGCATGAGTACGCTTGTGGAGCCCTGTCCGCATCTGACATATCTCCACCACTGTCTTAACCTGGCCAAGCTGTCACCGCCGCGCCCCGCCCTCTTCCGGGCCGGAGCAGTTCTGGTTTCGCGAAAACTCGTCCGGGGAACCGACAACGAGCTGTACAACGACGACCGACTTCTTTCGTCAGGTCATACGATGGAGCTGGTGAAGAGACCCCATGCGGAGCAAGCCTGTCTTTCCAACTACGCTGCCGTCCACGGAGTGCCAGACAATGAAGTCGGGGACGTCCTACCCTCCGAGCCGGATCGGTCCTTGATCATGTACATGAGTTTTGAGCCTTGCGTGGAGCACGAGGGAAGTGACATGTCCTGCGTGCGGAAAATCATTGAAACGAGAAAGGGGGGTCGAAAAGGCATTGAGAAGGTTTATTTCGGCTCGCTGTCGCCGTGCTCGAAAAGCAATAAGTCATCGGCACGTCAGATGCTCGGAGAGGCTGGCATTGAGTGGCAACTGGTCGAGGGGCTGGAACAAGAGATACTTTCGGTTGCAAGGGAAGGGTGTGTGAATCAAGGAAAGTTTTGAAAGTTTTGAGGTTGCGGTCTCTTGTTACTCAGCCGTACATTGGAGATGACTCTAGAGATATGCCTCTTTGTTTGTATTGTTTGTGTGATAGATGTATCCAGTTAGTCGGTCACATGATATATTAGTCAGTCGGCTGTCTGGATAAGTTCTATCCCGGACCCACGAACGGGTTCTTCAATTCTCTTACCACAATAATATCATTGAAACAGGTTCGAAACCTATTGCAAGAGAAGCCTTAACGGCATTTGAATTGGTACAGTAGCATCCTTTGGGATGATTCGCACTACTTGCGGAGACTTATGCCTTTTGGGTAAGTGATCGACCACTGTTCCTGTTCTTCAACCTCATTCTCCACTCTGAGCTCCACAAGCTTAAACACTTTATGCTGCAGATTGTGGATTCACCGGTCCCCAGACATGGAGACATGACGACGCTTCTTATCTCCATCATCTAGCCTTGGTCCTGCCACCACTATCATACTATCTCCGAGATCTTCACCATCGGACCTGACGCGGCGTTCCGTCCCTCAGCCGACTTGACCTGCGTCAATGGTCGTAAGAACTTCACAAGCATAAAATTAAGGTAAAGTCTGTGGAAACACCCGGTGGAACTGCTTACGTTGCCCAAGGCGGGGTCTAGATGCTTGGTTGTTTGCGAAAAGGTACGGCTTCATATAAAAACTCGCCGTAACCCGCCCAAAACTTCGATTCTCCATTCTCACCACACTCCTTCTCTTCGTTCTCTACTGCTCAGTCGTTCATTCATCATGGCCAAGTACCTCTCCTTGGCCATCTCAGCTGCGGCTCTAGCCCAGGCTGTCAGCCTGGAAGATGTCTGTACTTCCGCCTACGCCAAGGCGGCGATTCCCTCCACCGGTCTGGCCCAGGGGGTGGTCACCAACCCCTCCAGCGTCACCGCAGCCCCGGTCTACAATGAATCCACCGCTGGATCCAACTACTATCCTGCCGGCACCTACAACTACTGCAACATCACCATGACCTACTCCCACGCGGGTAAGGACGACGAGGTTCTGCTGCAGTTCTGGATGCCCTCCCCCGAGGACTTCCAGAACCGCTGGCTCTCGACCGGTGGCTTCGGGTTCGCTATCAACGTCGCCACCAACGTCCCCGCTGGTCTGCCCTACGGTGCCGTCGCTGGCCGCACCGATGGAGGGTTTGGCAGCTTTGACAATGAATTTTCGTCTGTCTACCCTCTTGTGAACGGCACCGCCAACTACGATGCCCTGTACATGTTCGGCTACCAGGCCCACCACGAGATGTCCTCCATCGGCAAGTCGTTCACCAAGAACTTCTTCAACATGACCGACAAGCTCTACTCCTACTACCAAGGTTGCTCTGAGGGTGGTCGCGAGGGTTGGAGCCAGCTTCAGCGCTTCCCTGAAGAATGGAGCGGTGCTGTCATTGGTGCCCCGGCCATTCGCTACGGTCAACAACAGGTCAACCATCTTGTGCCACAGGTCGTCCAGCAGACCCTGGGATACTACCCCCCCAACTGCGAAATGTCTGAGCTGGTGACGCAGATTATCGACGGGTGCGACGCTCTGGATGGTCGCAAAGACGGAGTCATCTCGCGCAGCGACCTCTGCAAGTTGAACTTCGACCTCAAGTCCACTATAGGAAAGCCGTACTCGTGCGCAGCCAGCACCAGCATGGGCGTCTCGACTCCTGCGCAGAACGGCACCATCACCGCTGAGGGTGTCCGCGTCGCGCAGACCATTCTTGACGGATTGAAGGACTCTGAGGGTCGCCAGGCCTACTTCTGGTACCAGATTGGATCCGAGTTCACCGACGCGGAGACCAGCTACGACGCCACCACCAAGACATACGGCCCCGAGATTTCTGAACTGGGCGGTGAGTGGGTTACTCACGGTCTGCAGCTGCTGGACCTCGACAACCTGTCCAACCTCGACAACGTGACCTACGATGTGCTCCGCGACTGGATGCTGGAGGGCCTGCAGCGGTACGAGGACGTGCTGCAGACGACCTGGCCCGACCTGTCGCGCTTCCAGGCTGCTGGTGGAAAGGTTATTCACTATCACGGTGAATCTGATAACTCCATTCCCGCGTCTTCGTCGGTCCGCTACTTCGAGTCCGTTCGCAACACCATGTTCCCCAACTCGACTTACACCTACGATGAGTCGATCAAGGCGATCAACGAGTTCTACCGCCTGTACCTTGTGCCCGGTGCCTCGCACTGCAACACCAACTCGCTGCAGCCCAATGGCCCCTACCCTCAGGACTCGCTCGGTGACCTCATGAGATGGGTAGAGAAGGGGGTCGACCCAGTCACGCTGAACGGTACCGTGCTCACTGGCGACTACACCGGCGAGCACCAGAAAATCTGCTCGTGGCCTCTTCGTCCCTTGTGGAAGAACAACGGCACCACTCTGGAGTGTGTCGAGGACAAGGCGTCGATCCAGACCTTCCTTTACGAGCTAGATGCTTACAACATTACTATCTACTAATCAGTCTTCTCGATCACCTTGTCGATCGAGGTGACATGCCTGTACACTAGTTAGTTCTCTTCTCTGATCTGTGCAGATCATCGTCTACTTAGACTGGATATGACTTAATTACCATCAGTGTCCTGTATCCTAGTAACTGAAAGTTGGCTGCTAAATTGGTTTTATAGATACATCTATGTAAACATTTATAGTAATTAGACAGCGAATGAGATTGTGCTCAAACGTAATACAATTCTCCATATGGAGAGCTAATCACGTTAGGCTATCATGAATTGAGGTAGTCTCCACCGCGGAGACAAGTTGCACGACATCGTCTGGACTAGAAGGTCTCGACATAGGTCATCAAGCACGTTGTGGAGATGATAACAATTTCCGAGGCGATTTGAGGCCGTGCGAGGACTACCTTAAATTTTTGACGTCATGACCGTTGATGGGAGACACGGCAAACACGCGTCAGTCTAACCCAGTTTGGAAAAAGGCGGGTCGACCGTCCGCTTGCGCGGTTGGTATCAGCAAACCATGGATAGCTTCATCCACGTCTCCGACCGGAAAAGTACTAGGCTGCAAGTGTTCCTTAATACCGCCTTCGCAGTCTGGGAGTATTTTCACTGGATTGAACAATAAGTCTGATATTCGAGCATGAATATTCTTCAGCTCGAAAGAACTATCTCAGCTCTATGGACACACGCCGCATAAAATATTTACAAAATGACATCCACTACCACCAGGCAAACGCCTTACACGCATTTATAGTTCTTGCTATTAAGATGCACCAGGCCCATGTCGATGAAGCCCTCGAAGTTCCAGTAATCCGTCTGGTTACCCTGTCCGCTCACGGTCCCATTTCCATAGAACTTGGCCGTCCAGTACGAAGAGCCTTGGGTGTGCCGGTGGAAGGCATGCAGGCCGGTGTTAAGATTGCGTTCCCGCAGGGCGAACGTGTTGTTGGAGCCAGCCTGAATGGCCCATTCGCCGACGAAGACGGGGAACTTGCCGTCGCCCGCGACGGCCTTGGCTCGGGTGCAGATGTCTTTCGCCAGGGTGACGGACGTGGCATTTGTATCGTCGAACCAGTAGTTGTGGGAATCGAAGACGATGTTGGCATCGGTGGAGAAGTTGCCGGACCAGAATCTCTCCCCCTTGAAGCTGTCCTGCAGCATGACGGGGATGCTGGGGTTCACGGCGGCGACGTGGTCGATCACGGCTTGATAGTATTTCAAGAGCCAGGCCGCTGCCTCATCCGTCAGCGCAGCGGGGGTACCGAAGACAGAGAAGTCCCTGTTATCGACGGCTTCGTTGGCGGGTTCCAGACTGTAAGATTCGGGGTGACCGGAGGTCTGAATGTAGTCGATCACAGCATCGACTGCTTGCAGAGAGTAGTCGAAATTGGTTTGGTTGTACCACCAGCCGTAGTGGCCAGTGGCCTCGCCGATCGTCAAGCCATTGGTACCTCCCGGCAGTCCATGAATGTCGACAACGATGTGCATGCCATATTTCTCAATAGCATAAGTGGCGATCTCAGACAGATACTTGGTCTGGTTGCCCGAGTAGAGCTGGGATCCGGGGTAATGAATCCATGCAGCGTAGGTAGTAGGGATTCGCAGTGCAGTGATCCCGACACTAGCAAGCTTGTCGACATCGGCGGTGGTGATCCAAGTGGCATAGTGCTCCTCGAAGACAGGTCCGCATTGTTGACCCAAGTTCTCGCAGAAGCCCCATTCATCTGAAGCCCCTCCAGCATACTGAGCCCACCATGCGCTGTTGATGGTGGACTCCTGCACCAACCATCCGCCGAGGTTGGCTCCGTGGGCTTTGAACTGTCTCCAGTTGACGTAGCTGGAGCTTTTGCGGGAGGCTGTAGGAGCCCCTAGTGCTGTTGGAAGGGCCAAAGCCGCAAGGGCAAGTCCAAACTTCCCCATGATGTAAATGCGGGTGCTACTGAGAGTAATAGCTTGCTGAAAATGGATCCAGGCTGTCTGGCTCTCCATGTCGGACAGCGAAGCAGCGCAATTTATGCTGCGAGCACAGGCTCCATCGACGCGAATCCACAGTCCGAACCCTCAGCCATCGCTCCGTTAATTCTCTTGGGATTTCCGTGGTGACAGAGAGGATTGCTTGCTAAGAAACTAGCAAGCTCGCCAAGTCCAGCGAGGAATTCCTTCAGCCTTTCGCCGGGTGCCGACCCGTGATGTCGTTGGTAATGGATCGACAGTAGACGGATGTCCCGTATTGACCGGAAAGTCCGACTTGTCATGATTCCTGCAGCAACACGAAGATTAGACAACGATTGGAATTGTAGATTGGAGGTGGAGCTAGGTTGGATCACACACTAACAGACTGCCAGAAGGGCTGCATGTGGTCATAACTCCATGCAATGGTCCACGAGGACAGACCAGGTTTCCCCGTGGGGAAGCGGGAATGAACGAGCGGGAGAACCTCGGAAGAGAAAACCGGCAGTTGGTGTCGAGCGGTGACTAAGGGATTTCTGACTCAGGCAGTGGAAAGTGCCAAGACCCAAAGCGGTCTAGACTAGTTTCACCTGTGACGGGGTTTTGGGGGTCTTTCGGGGTCAATTCACGCGAGTTTCTCGACGCTCTCCCCTCTTTTCCCCCCCACACTGACCACTGACTCCATTATCGTCCCACTTTCATGGAGGGGTAACTGGAAATGCTTCCTCTTTGGGCTGTGAGATTGGGTCAAAATGAGAATACCTCCCAGCTGGGGGCAGTCTTCATGACACTCGCAGAAAAACACTCGCTTCACCCACCATGGAGATAACGCGCTGTGGAATTCATGGTTTCCATGAGGTTTTGGGAATCGATGTCGACGAGGTCCGCTTCTTCTGGGTCATCGCATCCACCCAACCAAATACCTCGCAAAAGGCCTACCGCGTGGTACTGACTACCGACGAGTCGAGCCTGCGTGATAACAATGTCAGTCCCTCGAAACTGGCCTGGGACTCTGGCTACGTGGAGAGCGATGAGCAGCGCAACATCATCTGCAAGCCCGACAACGGCTTTCAGTCGACTTGCAGCTATTACTGGCGAGTGACCGTCTGGGATCAATGGGATCGATCCTTCCACAGCGCAGTAAACCACTTCTTCACGGCCTACCCCCGTTCTCATCTCCTGCCTCCCTACAGCATGAATCAGACCTACATGCCTCATACCGCCCTCATCTTTCGCACCTGGTTCGAGGATGAACCCAACCGCTGGAAGGCTGTGTGGATTGGCGACGGAGGGGACAAGCCCATTTACGTTCGCAAATCGTTCGACCTCTCCCGGACGCCGGTACGCGCCATCCTATTTGCATCTGGACTGGGTCACTTCAATATGAGCCTGAATGGCCGACCGGCCTCTGACCATCGCCTCGATCCCGGCTGGACCAACTACCACCGTCGCGTACAGTTTACATCCTACGACGTAACCTCCCAGCTGCAAAAGGGCCAGAACGTGCTGGGTGCGCATGTGGGCAACGGTTTTTATGCAGGTGATAAGGGCGATGACCGCTTCTTCTGGCCCATGTACGAGGATAATACCTATGTCCGCTACGGCAACGAGCTGTGCTTCTTCAGTGAGCTGCATTTGTTCTATGAGGACGGCGAGCACACCACATTGATCTCGGATCCCTCTTGGCGCGTGAGCAAGAGTGCCACTACACTTGCCAACATCTATGCCTCCGAAACCCACGATCGCCGCCTGTATCCGACCGGCTGGGACGCTCCCGGATTCGACGATGCACACTGGGCTTCCGCCAAGCCGCTCACAGGACCACGAGGTCATATTTATTACCAGACCCAACCTCCTGTCGTGCTACACGAGACTTTCGAACCTATTAAGACTCACAGTCCACGCCCTGGCGTTGTCTGCTACGACTTGGGTCAAAATGCGTCCACAATGGTTGAAGTCGTTGTGGAGGGTGCCGCAGGGTCTGAGATTATCGTTCGATACAGCGAGACGGTCAAAGAGGACGGCACCGTGCTCATGCCAGATCCATTGTTCAAGGAGTTCGAGACGGGTGTCTTCTCCCGCATCTATCTGGCCGGTACGGGCGCCCCTGAGGTGTGGGAACCGGACTTCAGCTTCACCAGTGCACGATATATCCAAGTAGAAGGCGTTTCTCTGGATGGGAAGAATGGCCTCCCCAGAATATTATCTGTCGTGGGTCGGCACATCTCGTCTGCTGCAAGACGACTGGGAACAATGAAGACCGACAAGGAGGATGTGAACGCTTTGTTGAATGCATGCTATTGGACGTTCAACAGTAATCTTTTCAGCTACCACACCGACTGTCCACAGATTGAGAAATTCGGCTGGCTGGAAGTCACCCACCTGCTGGCCCCCGCAACACAGTACATTCGCGACATGGAGTCCCTATACACTAAAATTCTGGATGATATCCTTGACACCCAAGAGCCCAATGGGTTGGTTCCTACCATGGCTCCTGAGATTAGATACATGTGTGGACCACTCCACGATACCATCACCTGGGGCTGCGCCTTGTGTTTCCTCCCCGACATCCTTCGCCAATACTACGGGTCGACACATGTCATCGCCAAGGTCTTTCCCGCGGCAGTGCGCTACATGGAATACATGCGCACCAAGGAGCGACGAGGCGGCTTGATCGAGCACGGCCTTGGCGACTGGGGACGGGGCATTGCCCACGGCAATAACCAGGCCAACATCGAGACGGCTATCTATTATCGCTGCCTGCAGAACGTGGAGATGATGGCACGGGAGCTGGGCGAGACACAGAAAGCCGACGAATTCCAGCAATGGGCAGCGCGCATCTACGCCGCGTACAATCGCCACCTCCTTGTGACTGACGACCCCTCTCGCCCGTATGCATATTACACCTCGCTGGACAACTACCCGGAGCGCGACCGAGACGCGATCGCGCAAGCAATGGCGCTACAATTTGGTATGGTGCCGCAAGAGCATCGGGCCGATGTCATGGCCGCCTTCATGGACGACGTCGCTGACGGCCGTATGCGGTCCGGCGAGATCGGGCTGCGTTTCCTATTCAACACGCTGGCGGATGCCAAGCGTCCCGATCTAGTGCTGCAGATGGCTCGCCAGGAGGAACATCCCTCGTATATGCGGTTCTTGCGGCGAGGGGAAACCACCCTGCTTGAGTTCTGGCAAGATGCGTGCCGCAGCAAATGTCATGACATGTTGGGAACCATTTACGAGTGGTTCTACGCCGCCGTGTTGGGTTTGAAGCCAACCGGGCTGGCGTATCGGACTTTTGTGGTAGACCCACCTTACGAAGCGGAATTCGACCACGTTCAGGGCAGCGTGGACTGCCCCTACGGCTTGATTACTGTTGAATTCACGCGCGACGCGCAGGGCGCGGTGACGCTCAATCTGCGCGTGCCGTTCGGGACGACGGCTGTCGTCAAGTTGCCCGAGAACGCAAAGAACTCGGCTTATCTTCGAGCCGGCGAAGCAAAGCAGGCTGTGAAGGGTGATGACGTGCGACTAACTCACGGCGAGTATTCTGTTTTCGTGCAGCTATAAGTTCAATAAACTTGTACATAGAGGTTACACTAGTTTAATGGGGAGTCATTTTGATTATCAGTCATCGCTATGGTCTGATTTTCTTCGCCAGAATCGAAGTTTTGGCGAATCAGTTAAAGCAGAGGCAAGCAAGGGCTCGTATCTCGGTCTGAAGGTCACCGAAGAGGACCTCAATCCTGGCCAAGGTCGAACACTGGGTTAGTGTGTAATTTGGTCGGCCACGGCGAGGATAGTTAGGCGAAGAAATCCAGCAGCGCGAAGGAGGGCGACACTCATTGGGCAGGCAGGGATTGTCATGTTAACTCGGGGAACGGTTTCCCGACTCTTTTCTCCAGGTTCCCCACCCATACGAAAACCGGAGGCGAGGGCAAGCTGTGCACAGGCAAACAGACAATCAGACCCCAACCAAGGGGTGTGCGTCCCACAACCTTTAGAGCAGTTCGGAAAATCCGAGTCAGCCCAAGCTTTAGTCGAACTTGGCGGGTGAGGCTAAACCGTCTTGGAATAAGCCACTTCCCGCTTTAGGGCTCGCCCCCCATCCGTCTCGAATTGTGACTGCGTTTTGCAGCGTCTCGGAGATTCAACTCCCTTTGGCAAACAGCCAACTTTTACTGGCCTTGCTGTCAGCCATCCAGAACTCTTTCCCTCCCCATGGGGCATGACCCGGTTTCGGGTCAGAGAACCCCGAATCGGCTTGAATCGGCGCTGGTGTTACCCCAGATCTCATGACGGCCGGCGCTTCCTCGGCTATTCCCCACGGCAAGTGGCCGGGCTTGCTGCTTCTCATAGCCCATGGGGCAGGGCAGGGCCTGAGACAACCCCAGATTTGTCCCGGATTTTGGCCCAGACCCCTGTCAACTACGCTAGATATCGCTTGTCGGGGCTGGAGTCAAGCCAAGAGGTCACCCGCCACCCATGGCCTAGCGCATTGCAAGTTTCATATAAGATGCAGACTCTGCCGTCTGCTCAAGCCAGCATAGAAGATCGAACTCGTTTGTCTACCGAGCAGAATGACTAAGATCTCGACATTGTTGTCCGCCGTCTTCCTGGCCATTGGAGGTGAGTTTGTCGTGTATATCATACCCGCAAGTTGAGATCATGGGCATTGACACTGGTTTGTTCGTGTGAAAAGGCTTCCTCTTCGGTTATGATAGCGGTATTGTCACCTCGACCATCGCTCAGACCGAGTTCATCAAGTATTTCTCCAATCCTAATGACACCGTCACGGGTGGTGTCGTCTCCGCCTTCCAGGGTGGCGCCATCTTAGGCACCATCATCAACATGTTTACCGGCGACAGGTTCGGCCGCAAGCTGTCCGTCTTCGCCGGAGCCTGCATCTCCGTGTTCGGATGTGCGTTGCAGGCGGGTGCCGTCAACATGACCATGCTTATCATCGGCCGGTTCATTGCCGGAGCCGCCGTGGGCATGCTGACATCTACTGTCCCTATGTACGCCGGTGAGATGGCCGAGGCGCAGACCCGCGGTATGATGTCCGGCCTGCTGCAGTGGATGTTGAGCTGGGGATATCTGGTGGCGCAGTGGCTGGGCTATGGATGCTCTTTTAACAACACCGCCTTCCAATGTATGTTCTGTATCATCTTGCCCACCCAAGCGTTTGCTAACGTTTCGTGCTCCTGCAGGGCGCTTTCCCCTCGCCTTCCAATGCGTCCCTGGCGTTGTGCTCATGTGCGGTGTGTGGTTTCTCCAAGAATCCCCGCGGTGGCTCATGGAGCAAGACCGCCACGACGAAGCACTGGCAACTCTTCACAAACTCCATGGTGACGGCACCCCCGAGAAAGCCAGCTATATCGAGCTCGAATATCAGGAAATCCGAGACACGATCGAGGCGGAACGCGCACACAATAGCATTACCTGGTCCTCTATCTTGACCAAGCCCTCCTGGCGTCGACGTCTGATCCTTGGCTGCGGCGTACAGATCTTTGGTCCTCTATCAGGTATAAATTGCATTAATTACTATGCCTCAAAGGTGTATGGGGAGTTGGGCATTGATACGCGCACTACGCTCATGATCGTTGGGATCTCCGGGGCGCTGTCGATCGTCTACGCAACCATCGGTCTGTGGGCCCTCGAACGGGTCGGCCGCATCAAGCCTCTCATCTTCTCTGCCGCCGGCATGGCAGCAGCCTTGGTGTGTAATGCGGCAATGTCGCAGCACTGGAACGAGAGCAACGCCAACCAGCTCCGCGCCATGGTGGCCATGAATTTTGTCTTTAGTTTCTTCTACACTGCCCCCGGTATCATCTCCTGGGTGTATCCTGCCGAGATCTTCCCTGTGGACATCCGCAACCAAGGAAATAGCTTGACTACCTTCTGCAATTGGACCATAAATCTAATTTTTGCGCAATTCTCGCCCACCGCACTGACGAACATCGGGTTCCGGTACTTCTACGTCTTCTTCGTGTTTAACATCATTGCCATGATCTGCTACATCTTCTTCTTTCCTGAGACCAAGGGGAAGACTCTGGAGCAGATGGATGCGTTATTCGGAGATGATCTTCCTGCGGTTAGCTGGGAGATGGAGGAGAAAGGCCCTGAGGCAGTGGCTGTTGAGGATACGTCCAGGGAGTAGACTGGAGTGTATCATGAGGTCTTTATGGCGTGATTATCATCTATGATACTAGCATAATGCTCAATGAATGAATATAAACTGTTTGTGATCTTCGACAGACTGCTGGGGGGTCTTTTCTACACTATATGCGATTTGCTCGGTGGTGAGGTGGTGAGGGTTTAGTGCTTCGGCCGATAGCCGAGAGCCAAGCACGTGATCGGATTTTGTTTCTGCCTCTTATCACCGCCCGATCTTGACGCCCGCTTGCCAGCTACAGCCGTAATAATTTCCGGCATGTTGATCGCGAGCTGATTTACTCACATCTCTCGCTGAAATTATTTACAGTACCTCTCTTTTGGAAAACAATGCCTCAAGACCTTCTTTATTATCCTCCTCTTATCTGCTAGCGTTGCTGGTCTCAGCACTTATATACTACTTCAGATCCGCTCGAGCAGCCGAGCAACTTTCTAGATTGATTATACCGACATGCCTAAGGAATCAGGCATAAGATCCAATCCTGAAACCTTCCATCATATCAGTAAGCTTTCTTCTTCCGCTATCAAACTGCAATATCACCCATCATACCTCAAACCGTACAGGGTTATCACTAAATCCCCAGCAGACAAAAAGAATGCAATCCATGGTTGGTGAATATATCTTGGCATATGACCAGGCCTTCCTCACCGGCCGACTACTACCAGCGTCGTCATCCCCGAGCCAAAGCAGGATCGGAAGATGCCCCCTACACCAGCGGACACATCTTTGTGAGCTTGTATCCGGAGTTAACTTCCATTCCATGCTTGATTATCCTGATGATCCGTGGGACTAGATGAGCGGTTATACTAGCATGAGCTCATCACATCCAGGTCAGCACCTATGACTCCGCAACACTACGTCAACGTGTACAAAATGCTCGGAGAGAAGCTGCGCAGGATGGGCACAGACCGCCTGGGGAAGCGACTTTTCTTCTTTATTTCTGGCTCAAGGGAGGTGACGAGGTGATTGACCACATCATACCGCCCAAGCCACGATATTAGCGAACCCAAGACAATGAGCACTCCATCCCACTCAACAGAGCCCGGTGTCCGATGCATGTACTACTTCGAAGAATGCAATCGTGTCTGGATCCTCGAATGCGGCCATCAAGTGTGTGGAAATTGTGCTCGAAAGATGATTCACATTTCCGCAGCAACGGAGTCCAGATTTCGACCTCAATGTTGTGGTCTTGCAGTTACGGAGCAGCTGATTCGCTTCTTGCTCGATGATAACGAGTATCGCTTGTACCAGGATAAGGTGCTTGAATGCACAATCGAACGGCCGATATACTGCGCAGTCCCTTCTTGCTCTTTCTTTATCGCGCCTCGCAATATTGAAGGAGACTATGCGTGTTGTCCTAACTGTGGGACCAAGACCCACGTTCCTTGCCGAGCAATCGCACATCCCGGGCAGTGTCGTGAGGATAGGGCCCTTGGGGTCACTCTGAAACTGGCCAAGGCTAAGAGATGGCGACGATGCTACTGGTGCCAGACGATGGTGGAACATGCTAGAGATGGTTGCAAGGTCGTGACATGCCAGTAAGTCTGCTATACCTCACCGAGCTTGGGGACTAAATACTGGATTCCTCTAGCTGTGGAAAGAATTTCTGTTACTGCTGCGGCGCTCCCATTTTAGCAGAGCCTTGCAGCTGTATAGGCTGGCCGCTTCAAAGGGAGCAATTTGGGCCCCATCTCGGTCGCTACGTACTCCTTCCCCTTCTCTCCCCAATTGTCTACCTTTACCGAAAGCTAGAGGCTCGGTCACATTAGGGGTTCATCGACTTTGCCTAGTAGGGTCGGTATTGCTAATTCTGCTTGTGGAAAATGAAGTGGTTAGTGATCCAGATCCAGGTTTCAGTCAATTTCGATAGCGGTTGACTATTTAGGTCTAGCGTTCTTGTTAGTTAACTTAACTAATCCAAATTGTGCTTATGTCATTGGCATTGTCCGGTTTTGTGCGCTGGTATTACATCAGCCCAGATCGATGACGCATGTTCCGTGCACAACTACTGTATAACTTGGGACCCAAGAGCATAAGCTGCATGCGAACAGCAAAGATCAGCCCGACTATTTCACTAATCATAAAGTTAAAGGGCTGCAGATCAACCTGCTTTTCCGACACAAACTCGAGGCAGGTGAAATAGACTCGCCTCGCCCCCACGTGTGCCAACTGTCTGACATTTTCTCTCCCCTGGAGTTTATTCATCCCTTTCTTGCCTTCCATCCTCGGTTCGATATCATTACTCCTGTCCAACACTAGTCACTCATTTCTATTCATCTCGTTGGGTAAATGCTACGGTCGCTCATCATCAGTTTCACATATTGTTGAACCACCATCGAAGTGTCACTGGGAATTCATCCATGCAGCGCAGAGAAAGGACAGCCGGCAGTCATCTTGTCCCTGGATAAAAAGCAACCAACGGTGACACCATGGCCGACATAAATGAAGCCCCGCCTAGGGACGACGGGAAAGCCCTAGAGAACCTTCAAGAAACCGTTCTGAAGAGAAGGAAAAGGCGTCTGCCGCCATTTCTCGACCACTTCAACGCGCGCGATCTGAAAATCCTTTTCCGGTGTTGGGTTGCGGCCTGGGTGGCTTGCCTGCTGTTCCTGATCAGCCCATCCCTGTCGAGCCTTGGACAGGCTACTTTTTTCGCATGGTAGGTCGACTTGACTGTTATTCTGCAGTACGCGCCGACTGACCGCACCAGTCTTGTGTTGCTCATGCTCCCGCCATCAAGTGTGGTGTTTATCTACCTCCTCGGAGCGCTCTCCCTATATCTGGGTGTGTGCTTAGCCTGGGCATGGGGCGTCATCACGATGAAGGCCGCCTACGCGGCCAGATCATCTGCAGACACGCAAGCGCAATTGCTGGCCCTGGAGCAAACCGCGGTGCAACGTGCTAATGCGACCGGGCAGCCAGTCGCCAGTGTGCTCCAGGTGTTGGTCTACGAAGGCCATATGCTAGATGCGCGAGTGACGGCTGTCACCTACTGCCTCATTTGCACTTTCATCTATCTCATGGTATGACTTCGACCCACGCTCCACTTCCCTGATAGTCATAACCGTACAGACAGGCACGTCTCCGAGCCAGCAATCCGAAAGCAACATTTACGGCGATCTTCGCCATCATTATATCGGACCTGTTTCTCACGTATCTACCCCTGCTTCCCTCTTTCAACGGCACACTGCCCCTTGCACTTGCTAAGCCGGCTGGCGTCGGCATCGGCCTGGGGTTTGCCTGTTCGGTGCTGATCTTTCCACAATCCACATCACGAGTGGTTCTCAATAGCATGGAGGATATCATTGAGCTGCTCACTCACCCGCTGGCGTTCACCTTGGCGACGCTCGGGAAACGGGATCCAAACCTGGATATGGCGCAGTTGCGCAAGACGCAAGTCGGGATCATCGGCGAGTATCGGAAGGTCGAGCCCGCCCTGGCCTTCTTGCCGTTAGATTTCTCGATCGGTTGTTGGGGCGCGCAGCATGTGGGAACTCTCAAGGAGCCCGTACGACAGGCTATCGGTGCCATTCTTTCCTTGCTCGAGTTTCACATGAACCGCATCTCCGGCAAGGCTCGCGCCAAGGAGGTTCTACTGAAGTACGTCGATAAAATTACGTCGGAGGAAGAAAAGGCCAAGCCTTTGCATGAAGTCGGACGCCACCAGCTGCAGCAAATGGCGCGTTTGCTGGACGGTCTGCGCAACTCCGACACCGAGCCGATTCCGGAAGAAACCCTTCAAACATTTGTCAGCACGTCTTCAAAAGCCATCGACGCATGTCTGAGTGCACTTAAAGCCGCGAAGGATTGCATTCACATGGCAAATGGCCGACCGTGGTTTCGGCGCTCTTCGCCCGAGGCGCGGGAGCAACTGTGCCAGCGGAGCCGCAAGGCTCTCGAACATCTTCGCGCAATGCGCCAAACCTTCATTCTCCAGACAACAGAGTCGCTGGTTAGCTGCTACGGGCCGCTAATGGACGGGAGACCGGGTGAAGACGCTGACCGTCACGCCAAGAACTTTGGAGGTATCGTAGTTGGTATGGTGTTTGAGGAAATCATGGCCAATGCGATGGATAAAACCGAGTCCCTACTGGACCAAGTTCTGAACATCTTCCAAAGCTCTCAGCGAACACGAGTGTGGTGGCCGTTGAGTCTCAAAGCCTTTGTGTCTTGGGTGTCAGGCAAGGGCAACAAAGCCCCTGCCATGGCTCAAGTCGCAGACGACGATCCGGAAGAGCAGCCCGACGCAACTAAATCAGTGCAAGAGAAATTGCGGTTGAGTCGCGGATACCGCGTCAAGCGCCGCGGTCTGCTTAGTCGTGCTATTCTGGGCACGTACCACTGGTTCACATCAGCAGAAGGACTCTACGCTTTACGTATGGTAGTGGTCACTATTGCCATCGGTATTGTTTCTGCTCTACCTAGTACGGCGGGGTTCTTCTATCGCGAGAAAGGTCTTTGGGCTTTGATCATGGCGCAGACAGGTCTCTTGCCTTATATGGCGGACTACCTATTCTCTGTCATTGCGCGAGTTATAGGCACCGTTGTCGGAGGCGTCTTGGGCTTGCTCGCATGGTATATCGGTTCAGGCAATGGACCGGGAAGTCCCTATGGACTAGCGGCTATCATGGCCGTGATGCTTGTGATCTTCCTTTGGTCACGTCTCTTTTTGCCTCCTAGCCTCCTACAGGGGAGCATCATGGGAGGTGCTACCTTTCTGCTTGTTGTTGCGTACAGCTACGACGATACGTAAGTACCGCTCACTTAAAGTCGCAAGTACGAGTCCTGTCATGACTGACTATCTACTCAGTCACATCCCAACCTATGGCAATCCCGGCGTCGGATACACCGTCTTTTGGCGTCGACTGCTGTTGGTGCTGATCGGCATCGGTGTGGGGACCGTAGTTCAGCTGTTCCCGCACCCTCCCTCTGCTGCGAAGCATATCAGCAAGACCCTGTCCACCTCCATCCGTGCCATCTCAGACCATTACGCACTCTTACTGTCGTGCTGGGGCCGCGGCCAAGAAGACGGTCGCATCCTCGCCGAGCCGATCTCACTCCAGATGGCCGAGTCCCTCGTATTGCTCGATGGGCCTATCCAGCTTCTGCGCTATGAATTCTCCAGCTCGCGGTTTGACAGCTCGAGCATGGACCAAGTCAAGCTCCTCTGCCACGGGTTGAACCGGAACCTCGGGCGGCTGCTCTCCCTGTCGGCGTCCTTGCCGCAAGAATATCAAGACCGCCTCGCGCGGATGACTGGGCTGCTGGACCATCGCTGTATCGGCGAGATCATGGCCGTGCTGAGTGTCTGCGAGCAAGCGCTCAAGACGGGTGATGCTCCGCCCGAGCTCTTGCCCACCCCGCTGATGCAGCGGTCCATGGAGTATTGGCACGCGCACGCGATGGATACTCTGCTGTCGCCGGAGATGCTGCGGGATGAGGATTATCGCCGGTACTGCGTGGGGGTGAGTGCGTATGTCAAGTTCCTCAGTACGGTGGATGAGTTGGTGCTGGTGATTAAGGGGGTGTTGGGCGAGTCACACCTGGTTTCTTGGGAGCAGTCGAAAGTATGATTTAATTATAATATAGGTGGTAGCTTACGTTTTTGGGGGAATATATATCGCTAGGATACTAAGACATATAACATCAAGTTTTCCAAGATAATCATGCATTTTACTGCGTTTTCTATTCGTGTTTTGAGTGTTTCTTTAGTTGAATAGCTCTGTGATACTACTGTCTCCGATGGGGTGATCTACGAGTCGGCATTGAACTCCGCCGCCATTGCTGGCAACGCCGCGATCCAGTCCTCATCCTGCCACACCCCGCGGACGGTTCTATGTCTATCCCGTCAGTGGCCTCTCCGCGCGCTGCTCCAATTCCCAACCGAAGTTTCAACCCCGTGATGCCTTGCCATACCAACACCTAGGAAAATCCCAAGCAGAGGAACTCAGTCCCGACCACAGATCTTTCAACGACAATGATGTTGGTGATGACGGACCCCCTGACTGTCCCCCAACAAGCCGTCCCAGAACACTACGGGCCCCATAAATCCCCACCTCGCCCAGTGCATTCGACTCGCACATTGCCTGCTGGACATCACCTGCGAGGCCTACTTCCACACAGCCACATCATACGATCCGTCAGCAATGCACGCCCCCACCTTTTTATCTCCTCGTCTGGCTGACAGCGACAGCAATAACCCAGCACAGCCCCAGCGAGATCTGCGCGCCCCTTACTACGGGGCCTTTTGCGGCGAAGGGCTGTCGTGTGTTTCGTGCCGCCCGAATGTACCTGGTGCCCAGGGGGTGGTGAGTCGCATTGTCTTCTAGCGCGGACCTCTGCTTATTTGGATGTGCAGTGAGGTTTTCATGATCCGTGCAAGGGGCAAGAGTCATGGTACCGTGGTTGCTGGTGAGGAGGGATGGAAGGGAGGAGGAGAAGGAGGGCCACAAGTGTGGGCGTTGGGTACGACGTAGCCCAGGCCCGGGGTCGGGGTCATTTTCCGTTTCGGGGGAATGAGCTTGCTCGGAGTTATTGTGTTGATGGCGTCCAGGATGTGGTGGTAATACGTACTGATTGGATGACTATCTGATATAACAAGATCCTTGCTATAACGAACAGGAGTGGCATTCTGTAGTGGTTCATTATAGATTTGGACACTGGATGTAGCTTGCGTTGTCAGTGCTGTTCTAGTTCTTTGTTCCATCAGGCCTGAGATCCCTTAGCATTTGAGACCTTGGACGACGTTGATGTGTCTTGTTTGTCGACATCTTCTGCATTGTAACTCTCATGGAGGGTTCGGGATCTGCACGTATTCATTCTGAGAGTGAGACCACGCCATCTGGTCGGAAGGATGTTGCGTTGCGAGTAATGAAGGTCAGGATGAACAGCGGGCAACAGGCTGCAATGGTGAACGGTGATTTCCCGCCGAGTCAAATGGCCGAGGTGGTGGTGGTGTAATCTTCCAGGCTACTAAGTGCAGTGAGGAGCTAAGCTGCCCACTCAAAAGAGAGCAAGTAATCTGGAGGAACGGTTCCTGACCACTGTCGGGTGAGCCATGGTTGAGAACAGCTCGGCTGCCTTAGCTAAGACCTGGGCCGAACAAGGAAGCTCTTTGGGTGGTACTACTTTTTCCCTGCTCGGAGGCAGCTTGCTCTGTACCCGAAGCTGCACCATGGCAAGCAACCACCTACAGTTCTCTATGCATGTTAAATCACGGGCCTGACATCAGAGCAGGAACAAGACACAAGTGAGTCACTCCACCTGTTGGCGTACAGCACGAATGAATGTCTTCTTGGATATTAAAGCTGACCGCTACTGGGCACGAGATGGGTAGATCCTGATCGGGCTCGGATGCATCAGGTCGACCGTATGCGGCGACCATGTGTAGCAAGCTTCTCGGCTGCAACGTCTTTTCCCAGTCGCTTTCATCGATAGGTGCGATAATTCCTAAGTCCCGCTAAGGCGCAGCCACAATCTGTCGCCTCAATCTTCCACCAGCCAAAGCGAGGAGGCAATCTCGCTCAAGCTTCGCCATGCGTCCACCGCCTAACTTACCCGATGCTTGGATAATGATTCTGCCGTCCAAGGTCACCTGACCGGGGTGCAGACTGCGGAGAACGCGGGATTTTCTGGGGTTGGACTCCATTTCCACATTTTTATCGATTCTCAATTACCTCTTATCAGTCAATTGGCTCTCCGCAAACCACGTTGCCTGGATTGATCTAAACCAATCGAAGTGAAATGTCTCGAACACAGTTTCCATCCCCGCAAAGCATGACCCAACAACCAAGCACGCACAGTTCCAGGCTTATCCTAGTTTGGCCCCTGGGGCCCCGCATAACCGGATTGAGATTTATCCACAGAAGGCCAATCCCCCGCGGGGTTACCATCACAGTCTCACGCCTGGCTCTCGCATCAGTCCATCCTAAATTGATTTGATTTCTCTCTCCCTTGCGACTGGTTGGTCAAAACGCCACCAACCCCTTAGCACCGGATTTCGCACGCCACAACCACCTCCCGCTCCAATCGAACCCTGTTGTCTCGGCGCCTGCCCTGCTTCGGGTAACGCTCCCCTGTCGTCTCACCCAAGATGCTCGTTTCCTACGTCGGAAAAACTGGCAAAACCCCGGCGGGCAAACACAGACTAACTCCCCTGGCTGTGAATGCAACCTCATGCTGGGAGGCGTGCAGGGCGCCGAAACTATAAGACCCGGTACTTACCCTTTTTCCCGGCTTGGCTCTCTCTTCTTCCGTGTGGCACTTTACCATTATCCGTACTTGCAGTATGTCGACTGATGTTGAGAAATCCAAGGATGAGCTCCGTGGGGAGCACGTCGACATTGATCATGTCGAGCTCAAGCAGAACTCTGATTTCATGAGAGAGGCGTTCGATGCCGAAAACCGCGAGCATGAGATGGGCGTGTGGGAGGCGGCCAAGACGCACCCCTGGGCTTGCTTGTGGGCTTTCATCATGTGTTTCACTATTGTGAGTTTGATCTTCGGTCGATGAATGCCGGATCGCCGCTAATGCAAGTAGGTCATGGAATCGTTCGACATGTTCCTGAACGGTAACTTTGTCGCCCTCACTGCATTCCAACAAAAGTTTGGTGTTTCTGTGGCGGGATCAGCAGACAAGGTCATCCCGACTCGGTGGCAGAGTGCCCTGTTCCAGGCTGGTCAATGTGGCGCATTTGTCGGCGTCTTTTTAGCCGGCCCCATAACCAGCCGCATAGGTTATCGATACACAACGATTTTAGGCCTGATTCTCATGAACGCCACTATCTTCGTCTCCTTCTTTGTGAGTTGTTCCATATTCTCTCTCGGAGCTACCGTCTGACGCAATTCAATTAGGCCAACTCCCTCACTCTTCTAACCGTGGGTCAAGCTTTGGAAGGTGTTCCATGGGGTTTCTTTATCGCCAACTCCCCGGCCTATGCCAGTGAAGTTGTGCCCCTCGCTCTTCGAGGTGCATGTACCGCGACTTTGCAGATGTCTTGGTCCATCGGTTCGATTATTGTCGCCGGTGCTACCTACAGCTACAACAAGTATGAGAATGAGTGGGCCTGGAAAGCGCCCCTGGCCCTGCAGTGGATGTTCCCGGTCAGTTTACCCTTGCTTCTGTTCCGTCAACCCAAACTGACTCTTTTAGACACCTCTCCTGATCCTAGTTTTCCTTGCCCCCGAGTCACCTTGGTGGTTGATTCGTCGTGGACGTAGAGAGGAGGCCCTTCGTTCCATCAAGCGCCTCGGGAAGGAGAAGGAAGAGGAGGCCCACCAGGCTTTGGCCATGATGGAGCGTACCGTCAAGATTGAAAAGGAGCAAGGCGGAAACCCGACGCTTCTCGACCTTTTTAAGGGTACTGATCTGCGAAGAACGGCCATATCCTGTTTCTGTTACGCAGGGCAGAATTTCGCAGGTAATTTGATTGCCAACCAAGCAACCTTTTTCTTCGAGCGTAAGTAATTCCACAACTCCCGAGACCAAGGACGTGACGACTGACAATCCGCTTAGAGGCCGGTATGTCGCCGGATCGTGCTTTCCAGTTGAACCTGGTGAATTCGTGCCTTCAATTCGTGGCCAACGGCCTTTCCTGGGTTGTAACCGCCTGGTTCGGACGCCGCACGGTCTACCTCTGGGGTACTGCAACCAACATCATTTTGCTTTTTATTCTTGGTATCGTCGCCTCGGTGGAACAGAACGATCAGACCAACATCGCCCAGGCCTCCCTCGGAATCCTCATCTCTTTCGTTTTCGCGGGTACTCTCGGACCGATCTCCTACACTATCATTTCCGAGACCTCTTCCATCCGCCTTCGTGCGCTGAGCACCGCCGTCGGTCGTGCTGCTTACTATGTGGCAGAAATTCCCATGATCTACCTGGCCTCCAAGATGCTCAACACCACCGGATGGAACCTGGCTGGCAAGTGCGGTTACGTCTGGGGTGGCACTGCCTGCGTGTGCTGGATCATGGCCTACTTCTTCTTGCCCGAGCTGAAGCACCGCACGTACCGTGAAGCCGATATCCTGTTTAACCGCAAGGTCCCGGCCCGGAAGTTCAAGTCGACTGTTATCGGGGTCGACGAGAACGAGTAAGCGTGAGTGCACTGCGGCAGATTCTTGAGAGCTTTGTGATTATATGCGCGTGATACCAGTGATGTGATAGTTGATTAATTGATTGATGCATCGTGCACCGTATCTTCATAAGCAGGCAATTGACAGGCATGGAATGCTGCAACCTGGAATATTTGATTTCTTCGTAGCCAGGATTTTTGAGACGACCGCTTGATAGCAAACAAACAGTATGGCTTTGCTGACGCGGAGACTGATGCCCAAGGCATCCGTCACCTGATAGTCTTTCTAGCCGCCGGAGAAGGCTACCAAAATAGCAAACCGAATCTCACCTACTGTCAATGTGATGTGACATTCTGGGTCAAACAAATCATGTCCTCAATATACTTCAATGGATTTAATTCTGATTTTCAGGTCGGAATCAACAATGGTGCGATCCAGCTTCATGTCCCACCAGGTAAGTTGCTCACGCTGCAGTGTCTGTGGCGCCTCCCTTTACGGAGGGCAGCCCACAGGCAGTGCTTCCTTTCAGCTCCCACCTCTTTCTTGGCTCTCTTCCTGATCTCATCACCAAAGTATCATCGGAAGGCCATCGCCGCAACAGTCGCTAGTCAGCTGTTGTTAGTTGAGTTAAACTCAGTGTTTCAGTTGTCTTCTCATTTTCGTCGCATCCACTGACAGCATCTCTCCACAGAACGGCCCGAAACACCGCCCCATCCACTCTCCACCGTTCCGTTCCGTCGCGATCCAGACTTCGTCGATCGCGGGACACTTCTCGACCAGATCCGTGAAAAGTGCTCCGTTCCTGCTTCTCGAATCGCGCTTGTCGGTCTCGGTGGCGTTGGGTAGGTCACGATAATCCGTAATTGGCTGACTGCGTTACTGATCTTTCGGAGGAAATCGCAACTTGCCATCGAATACTGTTACCAAGTCCGCGAGAGTTTCCCGAACACGTGGGTCTTCTGGGTACACACGAGTAACGCTGCTCGATTCGAGCAAGGCTTCCGGGAAATTGCCGACCGTGTCAAACTCCCCGGTCGCAAAGATCCTAAGGCCAATATCTTCCAAATAGTTGGGGACTGGCTTAGCGAAGAGAGAAGAGGGAAATGGATCCTAGTTCTGGACAACGTCGATGACGATGAGTTTCTGAGCAAGGCTGCTCCTGGTGACTCAGGCAGTACAATGGGGAAGTCACTCTTGGACTATATTCCTCAGAGTTCTAATGGATCCATCATCATCACCAGTCGCAGTGCAGCGGTGGCAGCGCGGATAGTCGAGCCGAGGGATATCATCGCAATTGGACCGATGCACAAGACGGATGCGCGACTGCTCTTTCAGAAGAAGCTTGATGTTCAAGACGACCGTGCTGGAGATGAGGTGGATGAGCTTATGGCCGCCCTGGAGTATATGCCGCTTGCGATCGTACAAGCCGCAAGCTACATCAGATACCGCTTGCCACGCTTTTCAGTGTCACATTATTTGCAACTGTTCCAGAAGAGTGATCGCAAGAAGCTGAGTCTTTTGGATTACGAAGGGGGCCACCTTCGTCGAGACCGAGAAGCGCATAATTCGATCATGCTCACCTGGCAAATATCTTTCGATCACCTACGGCGAGCCAGGCCTTCGGCAGCAGATCAGTTGTCTCTGATGAGCTTTTTCGACAGACAAGGGATTCCTGGAGCTCTGCTTCGTATCCAAGAGAACAAAGATGCTCATCAGGTAGGCCCACGGGAGACAAATATGGTGACTATAAGTGATGAAGAGAGCACATCCGGCCATGACGACCAGTTCGAAAACGATGTCATGACACTAAGAGACTATTCTCTCATCTCAATAACAGATAAAGATGTCTTTGAAATGCATCGTCTGGTGCAACTCGCCACACGCAAGTGGCTCGACGCATATGGGCAGCTTGAACATTGGAGAGAACGTTTCATCATTATCCTTGACGAGTCCTTCCTAACAGGAGGGTTTGGGTATTGGGAAAGATCTCAAGTACTCTTCCCGCATGTACGAATGGCTGTGCGACAAAGGCCAGACACAGAACACTGTTTCCAAAACTGGGCAGCGCTCATGTACAAGGCAGCCGCGTATGCAGCGATCAAGGGGAATTGGGCGGAGGCAGTGAATATGGCAGTAAAGACCGAGAGAGCAGCAGCAAAGCTGTTAGGCCAAGAGCATCCTATCACACTACAGTGCACGCAAATGATAGGGTTGGTGTGCATAGTGAAAGGGGAACTGCACAAGGCCGAGTTGTGTTTCGCACAAGTGATGAACATCCGGAAGCGAGTGCTGGGCTGCCAACACCCAGACACCTTGAAGACCATGTCTCACCTTGCATCAGCATACTCGACCCAAGCTCGATTCAAGGAAGCTGAAGAGCTGGGATTGCAAATCATGAAGGCCCACAAGTCAACGCCGGGCCCTGAGCATCCTGAGATATTGCATTGCATAGGTCGACTTTCAATGATCTACCTAGCGCAAAACCGATTGAGAAAAGCCGAAGAGTTGGGCGTACAAGTCTTCAACGGCTTGAAGAGAATATTAGGGCCAAACCATCCCGACACATTGCTCAGTATGCACAACCTCGCAAACACATACTGGCATCAGGACCGGCGGACAGAAGCCGAAGAGCTAATACTGCAAGTAATAAGTACATACAAAAGTGTGCTGGGTCCTACCCATCCTAACACATTTCTGAGCATGAGCCTGCTGGCAAAAATATATTCAGATCAGGGCCGACTAGACGAAGCTGAAGAGTGGGAAGTTCAAGCCATGGACGGTCTGAAGAGAGAATTAGGCCCCGAGCACCCAAGCACGCTAATGTGTGCCGCCTGCCTCGCAGCCACGTATGGAGAACAGGGCCGATGGAAGGAAGCCCAAAAACTGCAGGTACAAGTACTGGCTGCTTGGAATGCAGTACTGGGCCTCCACAATCCTCACACGCTGGCCATCATGCACGACCTTGCAATTACTCTGAAGAAGCTGGACCAAGAAGCCGAGGCCCTCGACTTACTTACAGAGTGCACGCAGTTAAGTACACGTGTTTTAGGCGCTGATGACCCCGTAACTATGTCCTTCAATGCGATGCTGGTCCGCTGGCAAACCGAGATGCTGCGCAGAATTCATTGAATCGGGATCACAGTGTGAACTAAACATATGCAAGACAGTGATTGTCTACTATTCTTAAAGGTGCTCGCTTAAGACGAAAGCTCTCCTGTCAAACAGGACTAGCTTTGCTACAGAATTCCCATGACCATTTCATTGTGTACAGGGTGCGATACCGCAATATCCATAACACACGCTTCTATTCACATAAGAACACGCCGCACTTATCTCCTCTTGGGACACCAAAAAGTAAGTCTAAGTATAAGCATAGCAGTACTTCCCCGACCGCGAATTCACCACCTCTCCGATCCTCCTCTGGCGATCCAAGACCCCAAAATCCATCAACGTATCCAAGGTCACCAACGGCGCGTCGGGAGGGTTATAGATTACCGCCGTCCCGTTCAGCGCGTTCCACCGCGCCGCGAAATCCCGCTCCTGCCACAGCGTCCACATCCGATCCACCATGCCATGGTGCAGGAAGAAGGCGGGATCGTGCGGACTGGCGAAGACGTCCAGCATCGCCCCGCCGACCGTCGTATGGCCGCCGCCATGCGATCCGATCAGCGTCGCGTTACTCGGGTCCATCACGGCCATGAAGGCGTCCATGTCCGGCGCGGCGAGGAGCATGTCCACGCGCTGCTGGTTGTTGAGGATCTGCAGCGACTCGGGCCGGAAGTTCCGGTTCAGACATCGGGGGTTGTAGCGCCAGGGGTCGGGCGGCAGGGGCCCGTAGGATTTTACGAAGTCGCGTGTGAAGGGGCCCAGGTGCAGGGTCCAGTTTACGAAGGGCCCAGAGCTCACGCACCCGCCGCCGGCGCCGGGGGGCAGGCACCCGCCCAGGTTGGCGGGGCAGAGCGCGGGGTGTTCGGCGGTCGAGGCGTTGTAGATGCCGTTGCCGCCAAGGGAGGTCGGGGAGTTGTCGAAGAGGGGGCTTGACAGGAGGTTGTTGTTGGTGTAGAGTGGCCAGTCCCAGTATCTGCGGCGTTGGTCAGCTTGGGCGTTTGATGGTGAACAGGATGGACGTACGGTTGTGCGCCAGCGTATCCGCACTCTTCGCGGATGGCTTGCTCCCACAGCCAGGTGAAGTGGCGGTGCCATGGGAGGAGGAGCCCGTTGTTGTGGATGACCAGGGTGTTGTTGATGTGCGTGCTGTCGGGGTGTCAGTGGTCTGTTGGTCTGTTGGTCTGTTGGTCTGGTAGGTATCTCACATCACGAAATCATCGATGCGATCCCGCGCACCCGGGAACTGATCGCGAGGGAGGCGTGAAGGCCGGCTGCGCATACACCACAGAGCGTCGATGTAGTCTGTCCGCTCTTGGGGTTTCAATTCCTGCCTGGCAAGGGTCAGAGAGGGCTAAAAGTCAATCTGGGAACGGAGCAGAGTACCATTCCCGGCGAACCTGGGCGGTCTCTGGATGGCATCGAGACTGGGGTGCTGCCAGCACGGCGGTGGCGGCCAGCAGGAGGGTATTGAAGATACGCATCTTGACGGTACTGCCGAGTCACCAGTGCTCGGGTTGACAAATTTGCGCGACGACTACGAAGAAATGCACCTTATATACTCCACGGGATCCAGAAATCAGGCAACCTCAACTTCTGGACCCTGCATGCTGGGTACACAGCATGAAGGACGTTCCGGGGGATTCGCAGAAGACATATTCACCCATGCGACAGAAGCAAACATTTTGGCGTCTCGGGACAATTCCACTGTGGTTCAGAAAAAGCAAGCCTGGCTATTGGCAATTATTCCCATTAGACGGGTGTATGGTGCATATGATACATCAGATCGATCCTCCTCTCCGCTAGTAACACTCAATACTGTCGATGAAAGGAATGGGGTCGGAGGAGGTGTGTAGGCCTGGGTTGAGCATGGAACTCCGGCCAGTGCAGCCGATCGCGCTGGTCGCTGTCAGTCATATTCCCTCGCTCTCCTGGGTCGGGGGAAGCTTACGTGAAAAGTCGGCACGGCCGCGACAAAAACACGGTGCTGACCTCCCTGGGTCCTGTCAATGTCTGCTCGGAATGTCCAGGATCGATCGCACTTACTCTTCCGAGAACTTCCAGCAGTCGTTCAAAGGCACCTGCATAGACCGACTACCCTCTGTGGTCTCGTATCCGACCTGTCCGCTGGTCAGTGTGTGGTCGAGGGTTGGTGGCTGCGCGGCTCACGGTGGTCCATTCCGTAGCGCTGCTCACCGCCGCGAGGAGCAGCGCCCCCAGGGACAAGGATTTGATGGCAAGCATGGTGGCGATTGGAAAGATCACCAGGGTCTGATTCTTTGGGAAGCAACGAGGCAGGTGGTGGACTGTCGCGGGCGCGCACCATCTGACACGTAGTATTTAAGCTGTCGAGGGCGGCAGGGTAGGCCCTTTGTTATGGTTTGCTCACATCCCTTGCGTCGATGGGGCTGCATTCCAAGCGCGACCCTGCGTCACGGTGGTGGTCGAATACGAGTTCGGAGATTCTATGGTTTGCTACTGAGGGAGGGGTTGAGTTGGAGCTCAGCAGCAGAGAACAGATACCTGATGTGGTCAGGTGACTTTCTGGCCTGCGATTTGAAGTTCCGGATCTGAGATCCAACACGGCAGGTCGACCCCGACACTCGGGATCTCACTTGTTTTAGCTTATCTGGGGTTTCAACCTTGAAATTGCCGAGGTCGGGCAGGGTCCAAGTACGGGTGAAACATTATCCTCAGGGTCGCAGAAAACGACTTTATATACTGTGCTTATAACTCCGATGCAGAGATTCTGATTTCTGTGACTCGCATTCGACCTTGTTTTCTTGCATCGCAGCTTTTGCGCAATGCGATGTAGGTGGTGCGCGTGGCGGTCCAAACCATCGGAAAAGGACTGACTGACTCATCAGTGCGGATAAATACCCGCCACAGTCAAGCCTCAGGGCTTGGATTAAGCTACCTAAGCTGTGCCATCCGTAACTTGGCTGGCAGCCTGGTAGCTGGCCCATGGTCGAAAGACTCGAGGCAGCGAAACACCATGTGAAGGGCCCTGGGAAGGAAGCTTGGGTCTTGAGCTCGGCGTGCGGGGTTGCACGTGGACCAGCTCGACTAAGCCCCAAAACAGCCATCCGGGAGTTTGGCTCGGGAGTTGAACTCCCTCATCCTCGGCCGCTCGGCTGACCACCTCGGCTGCGTCGTCGAACGGTATTATATAACGATCCTGACAGCCCCAGGCGAGCGTGACCGGCAATGTTGGCTGCCTCCTATCTACCGCCGATCCACCGGGTGCTCGCTTGCTGGGCAATCACAATGGGCTGCACGGACCGGGGGATCCACGTCGCCCCGTGTGGGCAATCCAGCCCGTTCTAGAGGTCCTTATCTCGGCTAATTGTCGTTTCTCCCCGGGTTTGGTCCGCTGCGGGTCCGAAAGGGCGTGGATTCGCCCCCGTGGGGAGGCGAGGGGAGGGGAAAGGGGAGGGTCCGGGGTCGAGGGGATTCGGGCATTCTCTTTATCTCCCCTTCCCCAGATGCTGAGAGCTGTCATCCCCTCCTCACATCATGCCATCCATCGAAATGTCGACCTCCTCGCCGGAAGACTTGTCCGGCAAAGCACACTCAGACTACTTCGAGACGACCGAGAAAACCGCCTACGTCCCCGATGCCGTTGAGTCGCTGTCTGAATCGCACAAGGCCTACCTCATTGAGCGCCATGGCACCCTGGAACTCGATCCGGTGCCCAGTATGGATCCAGCGGATCCGTACAACTGGCCCGCCTTCAAGGTAAACATCTTGCCCGGTGCTTTTGTGTATTGTAGAAGCTGGGACTAACCATGCGAAGAAAACCCTGAACCTGGTCCTCGTGGCCTTCCACGCCTGCATGGGCACGTTTACCGCTGCGGCCATCATCCCGGCGTATGAATCGATCTCCGAGGATCTGGGAGTGAGCATCCAGCGCACCAGCTACCTGACCTCGCTGCAAATCGCCATTTTGGGTGGTGCTCCGTTGCTGTGGAAGCCCCTGTCGAACCGATTCGGCCGCCGTCCGATCTTCCTGTTATCGTTGATTCTGAGTTGCGTGTGCAACATCGGCTGCGCCCGCAGCCCCGACTACGCCTCGATGGCGGCGTGCCGCGCCCTGGTCGCCTTCTTCATCTCGCCGGCCATGGCGATCGGCAGTGCGGTCGTGACGGAGATGTTCTTCCGCCACCAACGCGCCCGCTACATGGGGATCTGGGCAGTGATGGTGACGCTGGGCGTGCCGATCGGGCCGTTCATTTTCGGGTTTGTGACGGAGCGAGTAGGATATCGCTGGATTTTCTGGATCCTGGCTATTGTAAGTGAGCTTACCCTGCAAACTCGTCCTTGGCTGACTGTAGGTCTAAGACCAACGCCGTCGAATTCATCCTCTACCTCCCCTTCGGCCCCGAAACGCGCTACGTCGGCACCGACCTGCACTCGTCCACGACCTCGACCTTCAAACGCGAATACCTGACCCTCTTCCACCGCATCGACCCGACCCCCTTCCGGGCCGCGGAGTTCTACCACCCACTCACTCTCTTCACCAACATCCCCGTCCTGATCGCCTCGGTTGCCTACGCCATGGTCTTCCTGTTCGGCTCGGTAATGAACTCAGTTGAAGTCCCGCAACTGCTGCAGGTCAAATTCGGGCTGAACGCGCAGCAACTCGGCCTGCAATTTCTGGGACTCATCATCGGCTCTCTGCTAGGCGAGCAACTGGGCGGTGTGCTGTCAGACACGTGGATGAACCTCCGCGCCAAACGGACGGGCCACCCGCCGGCCCCGGAGTACCGGCTGTGGCTGAGTTACGTCGGGTACCTGGTGACGATGGCAGGGATGGTGGTGTTCCTGGTGTGCACGGCGCAGGCGGAGGAGGGCCAGTGGACGGTCGTGCCGGTGGTGGGCACGGCGATCGCGGCGTTCGGCAACCAGGTTGTCACGACTGTTATGATCACCTACGCGGTGGACACGTACCCCGCCGATGCGGGCAGTGTGGGCGTGTTTATTAACTTCGTGCGCTCGACGTGGGGGTTCATCGGGCCGTTTTGGTTCACGGATCTGTTTGACAGTGTGGGTGTTGCGGAGAGTTCCGGGGTGGTTGTTGCGTTGCTTGTCGGGGTCAGTGTTTTGCCGACGGTTTGGGTGCATTGGCGCGGGGGGAAGTATCGGCGGGATTGATCCAGCCTTCAGGCGAGGGTCTGGGAGGTGGTTTGAGGGTGAGAGGATGCGTGCTGTTGGGGATAGGTAGATTTGTATATAGAGCGTGCTTGTTCATTGACTATGATTGACTCGACTTGGTGTGCTGCAACATAGCTTCGTACCCTGCCAGTAATTGCTCGTACTTAAACCAACGCACGCTTCTCCTCATGCCTGGAATAAACCAATCGTGCAGTAGATCTCTCTTCAAACCAGTTGCCACCCACGCGACCCTACCGACAACAACAACTTCAACACGTGCTAACCTCGCATTTCATCCACCATCATCCCAATCCCACGCTGAAAAAAAAAAATAGCAAAAGGCTAGCAACTAACCCCACTCGGCACATTCGTACACTTGGAACTCGTCTTCCCCCCACTGACACTCACATCCGTCCAGCTCCAATCCGAACAGCTGCCTGACCCGCACGAGATGAGGATGTTGGTCCCCGAGCTGGCCACCGAGCCGTGCACGTTGTCCAGCACAAAGTCCGTGATCGGCACCCCCGTCGTGGGTGTCGACGACGTGTCGCCGTAGTTCTGTTGCACGACGATCCCGTACTTGGCGATCGAGGTCAGCGTGATGTCCTTGTAGGTGATGTCGCTGACGGAGCCGGTTGTGTCGATGTTGGTTTTGATGCGGACGCCTTTTCTTCTGGTTAGGGTTGGGTTGAGGGGTGGGAATGGGGACTGTAGAGGACGGCAAGGGGACTGGAGTGAGGATAGGGGCACTGGGATGAGGGGACAATATGGCCGGGTTGAGGGGGTCCGAACTGAGGCTCACGCACCATTATCCGAGTTGATGATCGTCGAATCCACAAAGGTCACGTTCTTGACCGTGTTATCGCTGCGTCCACCCACCGAACCAATGGACAGGCCGTGTCCACCGGAGCAGTAGCCGCCCGAGAAGTAGATATTCTATCACCGGACACACACACACTGTTAGCATCATCACCAAACCGAGCCAACCCCCTCCCACTGGGACGACTCACCTCCCCCGAGTTAACAGCCACGCAATCATCCTGATTATACACGGTCGCCCCCGAGATCGTCACATACGTACTCGTCCCGATATCAAACGCATCGGTATTATGCCCGCCGTTATCGTCGCCGTCCGAGTTATCGATCGTGATATCCTTCAGCGTCAGATAATCCGACCCCGCAACGCTGAACACCTGCACCGGCGAGTTGACGATTTTCAGCCCGCTGATCACCGAGTTCGTCAGGCTGTGCGCCGCGAAGAACTTGGGCTTCGTCTTGCCCCCGTTGCCGCCCTCACCGTCCCACCACCGGCTGCCGTCCCCGTTGATGCTGTGCCCGCTCGCGCCGGTGATGGTCAGGTCGCTCCCGGAGACGGAGATCAAGGGCCCGCTCCATTCTTTGTAGCCGAAGGTGGTTTCGCCGGAGAAGATGACCTATTCATTTATCATCAGGGGAGGTTTCAGAGAATGAGTCATGGAGGTGAACGAGGAGGGAGGGTTCAAGGGAGGATCAGGGAGAGAGCTACATGAGTCCCGTCGTTCAACTTGGTCAGGTCCAGTGTCGTACCCGATGGAACCGCGACATTGGACAGAACAATCGTCGAGCACGAGGTCTTGGACTTGCTGGCGGATGAGGCCCCGTTCGACCCCGAGAAGGTGCAGGTCGTGGCGCGCTTCGCGATCTCGTCGGCCGTGGGCGGGGCTGTGATGGCCGGGGGGGCCGGGCTGGCGAGGACGCTCGCCGCCCCGAGGGCGAGCGAGGCAAGGAGCGCGGTGCTGAGCTGCATTGTTGGACTTGGGCCAAGAGGGTTCAAGCTTGGATTGTCTTGGTGGTGTCTTGGTGGTGGTAGTTACTCGAGGGTGTGTGGGGGGGTATTTATCCCCCCAGCAGCGTCTATACAATAGACAGCGCAGAGAGGTGATGTTGCAGAACGATCCTGCAGGGTCTACCATCCCGCGTCCCAAGCATTCGTAAGTGGTGGAATAACCATTCTGCTGAAGAACATGGGGTCGCAACCCCGTAACGAGGTCGAAGTATCGCATGCTGGAACAGGAGCCTGTCATAATGCCAGTGGTTCTCCGCTCGGACTGACTTGCCACCAGGGAATCCGGGGACATCGCCGACGGAAGGATATTCGCCAGGGGCTGGTGGCTTGGTTCGCCCTACAGGTGCGAAACGACTAACCTCCAGCCCAGACGGAGGGCGGCCCGTGTGAGGGCGCGAACACCACGTAGTGCAGCTCGCTTAGACGGGTGTTCTGGGGAAATAGGGGGGGGCATGTCGCAATCCTGGTTCAGAGTTCGCGGGGATATGCAACGGAGGGAGCACTAATTGGCGGAATCACTCGCGGGCGGCGGACATTGCAGGGCTGACGATGTTTATTTCTCTTGGCTTCACGTCTGGGAGTCGTCTTGGCAGGCTGGTCTTGGCGAGAGGAGCCCCTGGCTGGGGGGTCGACTATCCGGCATTTCCGCAGAGTTGTTGCTCTTCATGCGAGTTGACCCATGGTTCAGCTGGGATTGATGAGATGCCTTTAGATAGGGTATTCCGCCTCTCAAGTCAAAAGAAGTGCGCCGGCAAGAAGTATGCCTGGGTTAACGCAACCAAACACGGCTCGAAAAAAAAAAGGTCGTGCCCGGGTTCGAACCGGGGTTATTGGAATATTTCCGAGCCCGAAGGCAAGTGAGGTCAAAATCCAAAGTGATAACCACTACACTACACAACCTGTAGTCGGTGCTGCTGCTCACTTTTACAATCCATGTGAGTCGGGGTCTTTTCCTGCGTCATCGTTCATTGACACTGCAGTGCTCATCAAACAACAGTCCTTCTGAGAGAATGTATTTCCGCGCCACCAGGCCAATTGTATTTACTGCTGAGAACTTGTCGAGCCATACAACCTCCTACCTAAAATTACTCTAATGCTGCAATCTAGCTCCGCCTATACAAAGAGCTTGAATCCCCCCGGAACACCCCCGTCTAAACAGCCCCTCGGGATCATACTTCCGACTCGTCCGCCGCAGCGCAGCCACACTCTCCTCCCCATACCCCCCAATAACGTCCTGGGCTGCATCGGCGTAGTTCATATACTTGAACGGGCGAAACACCCCCGCGTCCTTGGTTACTCCCTCAATCGCCTCGATAAGCTGCATAGCCGCCCCGTGAACCAGCGCCGTAGCGCTCGGATCAGGGAAGAAAGCCACCAGCAGAAAAATCACCAGTCGTTTGTCCGCGGGTCCCAAGCCCAAACTGTTGCGGGCATGCAGGGAGGGGATAGGCTGGAAGCTAATGTACCAGCTCATGTCTTTGACCCCCGAAATCGACGCGACGGATTTGTTGTACAGGTCGAAGACGGCCGAGTACACGGCGGGATCGTGGGCGAAGGTGGTGGTGTAGTACATCGTGCTGGAGTCAGTGTTAGCGTGGGATTGATGCTTCGGGATTGAGTTAAGTCACGTACCTAAACCCAGGAACCTGGTACGTGTCCTTCTCGATGGCGAAGTCGGACATGTTGGTCACTCGCAAGGGTTGTACAACACCGTGCTGTTGTCGATCAGGGTTTGGTAGACCGCGGGATACGGGTGTGGTTGGGAGTACAGCATGCTCAGGATCGCATGGACGGCGGCGTGCTTGCTCGTCCACCCATACAACTCGATCAACCCCGCGTGAGGATCGAAGTTCCCCGGCTCCATGAAGTCCGAGTACGCGGCTAGAAGGCGTGGCGCGTCTGCCCCGGGGTATGCGGTGAAGCCCGCCCACAGCTTGCCGATGGGATGCGTGCGCATGGTGAATCGAGTCACCACGCCGAAGTTGTTCAAGCCGCCTTTCCGGGCCAGGAAGTGGTCCGGATATCTATCTGCAGAGACGCGCAGAATCTCTCCGCTGGCCACAACGATCTCGTACTCGAGCACATCGTCGCAGCCTCATCCTGCCGTCACGCTGGGGACGCCAATCCCACCACCCGTCAGGAAGCCTCCTGCCCCGATGGCAGCATCGCGTCCGCCCGTGACAGCGATGTTGAGCGGATCCAAGACCTGGTACACCTGGAGCCAGCGGGCCCCGGCTCCAACAGGTCCGTAGTACGCTTCCGCTATGCCTTTCCACAAAAACCCCAACGCACAGGTCGTGGAGAGATACTGTGCGGACAGACTCAGAGGGTGACATCGTTCCGGGAGTAAGTGCTTTGAGAATGTAAGGGGTTATCCGGTCGGCAAGGAGGTCGTCAAGACTTTTGTCGGGTGAGAGATGTTGACGATATACAGCCATCGTTACATCCGTGCTGTGCATACACCGGGCGCTGTTGACATTGTATAGGGCTTTGGGATCGACCTCGAAAATGTGATCCACTACTTGACGAGAGATACCGGCTCTGTGATAGAGTTCCTTGCTCATCGGCAATTGCTCCATTGAAGTCCAGGAAGAATGAGCCGGCATGACCTGGGCCAAAATTAGACCTGGTGGAAGCAAACTCGAGTCTTATGAATAGAGCATACCCCAATCTGTTTGAAGGATGATAGTCAGTATAGACTATCAAATCTCACTTGCAATCTAGAAGACTGCCGCGTTGCTTCAGCATACGATCCCAGGGGTGTCTTCCAGCGTAATGTGCCAGGAGGGTTTAAGCTTCTTGTCTAGTAGCTGCGATTGATGTTCGCTGGTGTGTAATAAATGAGCAGATGCGCTAGTTCTGTGTCGCTTCTAAATGGATGCTGTTGCATGGCAGCTTCATAGACGCTCGGCAAGCTCCTGTGTACCCTCCGTCACTTCACCTAGTAGCGAGTCAATATCAATAAATTAACCCACCGACCTAAGAAGACCATTTCTCTTGCGCTGCCACCACCTACACTCAGAACTCCAACAAATGCTCCTTCAACCCCCTATCAAACCCCTCCAACCTCTTCTCAAACTCCTCCGCACTACCACCCAACATCTCACTCCCGACATTATCCCTTACAAACCCCGCAAAATACTCTCTTGCCCGTCTTTCCACCTCCAAATCCCTCCTTCGCGCCCCCAATCCCGGCAGACCGACCAGAGAATCCAGATCCGACGTCTCGGTCGCATCATACGGCACGGGACGCCCCAACGGCCTCGCCTCGCGCTCAGCCATATACAGCGAGAACGGGACCAGCCCCTCGCGATACCCATACTGGCCGCCCGTCGGATCGAGGACCCATTCCTCGCCCGAGAGGCGCATCGTCACCACCAGCACAGCATGCGGACACCCCGTCGCATCAGGGCCGGGAACGAGTCGCGTCGGACGAGGTTTCTTGCCGATCTGGACATCCATGAATTCGATTCGCGTGTCCATACCTATTCCTTCTTATCAGTACAGAATCTAGGTCATCGGTGCGGGATGCGGGGAAGGACACACCAGCCAGAAGCTTCCGGATCATCCCACTCAGCAGCGCCATCGCGGCCGTGCACTGGTTCATGCACAGAGCTGCCTCCCTCTCCTCCGGCTTAGTAGTGAGATAGTCTGGGAAGCGGACACGGGTTCCAGGGTCTCTGGCCGTCTGGTGCAGATGTAGCGTTCCGTGGCGGAGGTCGATCTGCGTGAGTGCGATGTCGTATAATGTGGCTCGGTAGGTTAGTAGTGTGGTCTTGAGGATGCGGGCTGCGCGGTGGAGTTTCGTCCGCTGCGTCATCACCTTGCAGACCTGTTTGTGGATGGGCCAGTGGCGCTTTTGGCAGGCAGGGGTGCAGTACGCTGCGCTGATGGTGTGGCCTGGTAGGTAGGCGGGAGGGTTGAGGCAGCCGGCGCAGTGGTAGGTGGCGGTGGAGCTGCAGGCTGCGCAGATTGTGGGGGTTGTTGCTGGCATCGTTGGTGATTTGAGGCTGCGGGTGGGTGGTGGTGGGTTTGGTGATGGTGGTGATGGTAGGGAGAAGTAACGAGGGGAAGAGATGGGATGCAGGAAGAGAGACGCGGTTTCCTGGGAAAATACCTTTGTGGGCCCGGCGTACTTGATATGTGGTGGTTGCCGTGTGTGGCCTGCTTGTGGATTTTGCAACTCATTCACTTCTTTTGCTGTGGGCAATCGCAGGTCAAACGAAATCTATCGCTGCTTTAACAACGTCATGGAATGTCAAGTCTGGTGGCCGTCGCCCGGCTCGAATAACCATGTCTATACGAGGTCTACCTTCCCAGAATTACAACACCGAAGCGACGCCCTCCATCATCTTTCTCGACACCGACCAGCGCGATCGTCTTCTCCAACTCGATTGCGACTCCGCCACCTCAGACGGGCACGTGGACGATGGATTTGTCTCCCCGTTTGTGGGGATGACACTCGCCCAAGTTGTCTGCTTCGTGTCCGAGACGGCCCGCGACACCGTCGTCAACCCGTACTCGGTCTTCATGGCGGATGAGTGCACGCTCGCTGACCAGATCATCCTCGTGGTAGGCATCCACGACGAGACGCGCGAGATCGAGGCCACGGTGCGGATGGTCCCCGAGCTCCTCGACCTTCTCGCTGCGAACTTGGTCATTGCAAACACGGATAATACGGAGATGAAACTGAATGCGGAGGAGACTGGCGGGGTGTACAGGCATGATCGTCTGGAGATGGGTCTCGAAGATCACGGGCTAATGCATGAAATAATGATGATAGTTAATTACCCTGGAGATGACGCACCGAGTCTGGGGGTTTTAGTCAATCAGTTGATATCTTGGCAACTTGATGGCGCTTAGTGTAACCTTTTCCGGGTTCCTAGCTAGGGAACGACGATCGCCAAGCAAGCGTCGTATCTATTTTTCCATGGCACTGCGCGTCCGATGAAGGGAGAAAGCACGTTGCCGGTGCGTGCAAGGCTCAATCAGCTTGGTTACATCAGTAGCGGACCCGCACAACCGAGAAAGCGACTTCTACACTCTTGATCCATCATTTTGTAGAAGGGAGTACAAACCCTCAGAAAGCAGGTTTCCATGTCAGGACAAAGCAAGCTAGAGCCACTGCATCTTTCCTTCCCTCGACAACGTACTTATTCTATCGAATAATCCAACCGAGTCTATCTCAAGCACAGTATTCACTTCCTCTTTCAATAACCGGCAGGAAACACGAAAGACGGTCGGCATGATGTAACATTTGCCCAACTGCCGAGACGCTCGTTGGAGTAGGTATATCTACAGGCTTTTGCCGGTTGAGGATTGAGTGGTGACATGTTGATCCAATTTTCTTCCTCGGTGACCTGGCCGGCTTGCTTGTTTGCTATATCAACCAGAAGTCAGTCAAACCTAGCCTGTTAGGTTCTAGAGTCCGAGTCTTGTTTCTCTTTCTCTCTATCAAATTCTGCCCTGGCCAATTTAGCGTTGATCAAGACTCCGTAGTAGGAGTGTAAAGCTCCAGCCAAGGGAGCTCACTGGCCTGACTCAGAATTGTTCTCACAGTGAGTCACTAATTGTTTATAAAGCTCTCTTCATTGAAATCTAGATTTGCATCGTCGCGTGGCCGCTCGCTCCACCGGGAGATGGTTCGGTGCCGCGGGGACTTTATCTGACGGCGGCAATCATGCCGGGGCCGAGGGGTGGGTGGGTCCTTCGGCGCATTTTGTAGGGCAAATCCCCACGTGACAGCATCGACCTTCTATAACCCGCCGAAGCACTCTCTCTATGAGGATGATTTATAGTTACACTCTCTAGTACAGGTGCAGACAATGCTGAAATGTCATTTTGGTCTGGGAGTTTGTGTGTAAGTCCGGGAGCTCTCTCAGTTGTGCCATGTATATCCTTCTCCTGTTCGGGGCGCTTGCCTCCATCCTTGCGTCGATCTTCCTATCCGGAGCCACCAGCGTGAATGATCTGGTCAACTGGCAATTACCCATCTTGAAAACCGTAAACTGGCTGGGAACCTCGAAAACCCTCCCATCGACCTCCGTGCCCGCTACCTGGAATGGCTTCGGCTACCTCTTCAACATCACAGTGGGCACCCCGCCGCAGAACCTGACCGTGCTGAGCGACTGGGCGTGGGTGACGCTGTTTACGCGCAGCGCCCGCTGCGAGGGGCGCTACGACCCCGCCCACTGCGTCGCAGAAGGCCAGAGCTACTTCGACGAGCGCGCCTCGACGACCTACAGCAACCGAACCGCCCTCCCGCGCCTCCGGTGGGACACGAGCCTCTACTCGCCCGACTTCACCGTCAACTACGCCACCGACACCGTGTGCATCAACAATCCCTCCAACACCTCCAGCATGTGCACCGCCCCCGCCACCACCATACAAGTCTCCGACTTCCCCTTCGCAGGCCACTACGTGCCCCCCGTCCCGTTCGGGGGCATCTTCGGCCTCGCGCCGGTCATCCCCGGCCTGAACGCGACGTACCACCCGACACACTACCAAGCCTGGAAACAGGGCCGCAGCGGCGCCCAGATCGGCTTCAACAGCTGCGCCAAGCTCTCCTCCAGGGGATTCTGTCACGGGGGCGACGCCCAGTTCGTCTTCGGGGGCACGGACGCCACGCTGTACGACGCCGACAAAATGAGATGGTACCCCATCGTCACGCCGCCGTGGCTCGGCGACGAGATGTTCCTCCCCATCAAGCCCTCGATCTGGAACTTCTGGGCCGCGCCCTGGACCGGCGGGTGGATTGCCGAGACATTCCCCGACGGGAGCCAGCGCTGGTCGAAGAACTACGCGGTTCCGTTTCCCGCGACCGCCCTGAACAAGGACTTCCTGCCTGCGGATCACAGCGACCGGAGATACCGGCGCGGGTCCCCACGGTATAATCCTGCCACGGGGGAGGAATTGGTCACCCCGCTGGCGGTGCTGGATGATGGGTCTGAGGGGCTGGGTGTTCCCGTGACGGCGAATCAGTACGCGGAGCTGGTGCGGCTGACCGGGGGTCGGAAGGCGGATGCCGAGACGCGGGCGGCGATCGCGGCGCAGTGGACGTCGAGCACGACGGGGATGTCGACGCAGGAGTGGTATGTGATTGACTGCGCGCCGGGAAATTTCCCCGAGCTGGTGTATGAGTTCGATCGGCGCGGGAATTACTCGGTTGGGCCCGAGGACTACGTGCAGGAGATCTATGCCACCGGGCAGTGTTATCTGAATGCGCATGTGTGGGAGCATAGTCGCACGGAAACCGGGGATGCGACCGTCATTTCAGTCGGGGATGGGATTCTGAAGGGCCTGTATGTTGTGCTGGACTTTGAGAGGAATGTGTTTGGTCTGGCGCCGTTGAAGAGGGTATAACATAATATAGGGGAATTGAGGAATAGAACTGGGGTCTAGAATATGATATCATGCTTGAATCTCATTATGTTGAAGTGGTTTGGTGAAACGAGCGTGTGCAGGCTGTAGGTTGGTGGCAACGCTTGTGGTAAACGTTGACGTGGGCTAGGTTACCCTGTTACATTTGTCTGTCTATGCGTATGCTCATCTCGAATACCATATGACGGTTCTTCACCAGCAAGAAAAAGGGCAAAAGAATGCAAGAAAGGAGGAGAGACAAGAAGTAGATAAAAGAAGTAGATGAAAAGAAAGGTAAAAACTGAGAAAAGGGAACAAGAATCTTGATCGCATGCAAAGGTGGGACTAAGGGCAAGCCCTTCCAATAGAAACTACCACATGATACATGTTCAGGGTATGGACCACCACGCAACTGATAATTCGTAAACTAAACAACACCTCCCAAAGCCAACCTACTCCTTCGTATACACATACATCGGCACCCCGGACTTGGGCTTCGCCGTCGACGAGAAAACCTGGTACGCCTCGTCGCCGAACGCCTCGGTGCGCCCGCCGGCGGCTTCGACCTCGTCCGGGTGCCGTCGCCGGTACTCGGCGTAGGCGGACGCGAACCGGAACCGCCGCAGCGTCATGGCCAGCACGACCCGGATCTCAATCATGGCCATCTCGCTGCCGATGCACATGCGTGGCCCCTTCTCGAAGGGCCGATAGGCGTCCGCGGGCGGCGCGTGCCCGTTCCACCCCGCCGTCACGGCCTCAGTGCGTCCGTCCGCCAGCGTGATCGTCTTGGCCGTCATGAACCGCTCCGGGTGGAACTCGTCCGGGCACGGGAAGAACTCCGCGTCGTGGTGCATTGTGTGGATCCCCACCCAGATCAGGCTGCCTTTGGGCACGGTCACGGCGGGGGCTTTGTCGGGGTGGAAGGTTGTGCTGTCGGTTCATCAGCCTTTCGAGCTTTTTTCTTACGCGACATGGGGTGGAGGGGGGAGGGGGCTGAGGACTGACTCTTTCGGCGCCATGCGGAGACTGCCGGAGGCGGGATACAGGCGGAGGGTCTCGCGGATTACGGCCGTCGTGTATGGGAGTTTGTTGATAATGGAGGGCTGGTCGCGGATGAGCTGGCCAATCGCTGCGGTGTCTTTGCCCAGGACTTGGTCGTGCTCTTCGATGACCTTGGCCAAGACCTCGGGGTGCTTGCTCAGAAGGTGGTAGATGTTCTATGGTTGTTAGCATCAATCAATAAGTCAGACCGCGGAGACATACGCTGAGGGTGGTGCTGCTCGTGTCGTGGCCAGCGAAGACAAACGTTTTGAGACTATGCGATATTAGTCAGTTGCTCATCCAAACGAGGCAGGTGGCACTCACTTATCGACGGCAAGCTGCTCAAATCCACAGCTGAACAACGACCCGTTGGGCAGCTGCTCATACCGCTCGATCGCGATATCCATCAACGTGCGGAACTTCTGATTGGCCCCGTTGGCGGCCCGGTCGCGCAGCACGCGTCGGATGTAGTTGTCCATAGTGTTCGCGTACTTGCGACGCAGGTAGTGGGTCACTGGGTTGATGTCGAGGGTCTGGCCGTTGGGCAGGAGGTCCAGGAGGTGGCGGAAGGCCTCGACCAGCTCGTCGCGGCGGGTCAGTGATTTGAAGTCGACCCCCAGAACGACGATGCCGATGATATCGATGGTCAGTCGGGCGGCCATCGGTTCCATGGAGAACAGCTCGTGCTTGGCGGCGTATTCGCGCAGCAGGTCGCAGAAGACCTCGGTCTTTTCGACCATCAGCGGCACCATGGTCATCAGATGGGCGTTGGAGAAGCCCGGGGCGAACAGACTGCGCAACTCCTTCCATTTGGCGTCGTTAGCGGCCAGCACGCTGTTGTAGCCGGTCAGCGGCTTGAGGAAGCGCGTGATCATCGGGTGTTTGGGAAACGGGCTGCTGTCCTGGGAGACCTGGTGGGCGAGTTTGGGGTTGGCCACCAGGTACATCTGGTCCATCAGGGGCCAGGTATCGATGGTAAACATGTCACCTAGTTTGTACAGCCGTTGTAGCATCGTCATCTGGGCCTGGGGGTGAAGATCCTTGGGGCCCTTGCTCTGCACATGCATAAATGCAGGAAGAGTGCCGAAGAGGAGATGGTGGGGGGGACCAGGCTGATCAGTCAGTACATGTTCTTGCGCAGTTCGAGACACGGCAGTAATGAAGACAGACTCACCAATCCCCTGACCCTCATTCTCTCGCGGACTAAAATAGTCAAACCGATTACGACCGCTCCCACAATGAGTGGAAGTAATACATCCTTGGGATTTTCCACGCCGATGACGGCGGGAAGATCCACCAAGAGTGAAGACATTGAGCGTGTCTGCCACTGAGTTCAATGTTGATTTTCTAAAACAATACCAGCTGCAATGCCAGTACTGCACTATAGATTCAGTCATGATCGCTCGACTGGAGTTCTTATGGCTGAATATGTATCTCTGGCGGACCCGCGGCCGGTGTTCGCGTTCGGTGACTTTGTATTGGCCAATCGATCAGGCCACGATCCCATCGCCGACGGAATCAGCGTAATAGCATGTCAGCAAGTGGTCAAAATGTTGCCTTAGAGTGTTGTCTAAGTTGGCTTTGTAGTTCAACTGGTGCTGTGCATTCGAGCGCCGTAGAGAACTGGATGTCTGTGGAATGCCTCCCGGGGAGAACGACAATGGTGAAATCAGTTATCAGTTATGATTTCTATACATCTGCTAGACATAATCTTATCTGGACAACACAAGAGCCCATGCTATTATCGTTCAATGTAAGCCTTCTGCTATCTGGGAAGAATCATGGATTTGACACCGTGAATTCAATACTGTTGTGTAGCCTGCTGAGAGTCCAGGGCACTGCGCACCGTATCGGGCTGCACAGTTGGTAAATACAGACTACCGTATCATCACCTCTCGCTTCCCTCACCACTTCACCTCGAGATGGTAAACAATCTTCGTCACTTTGACTCTCGCGTCTTTCCCACCTAACGTGATGACAACCATCAGAGCTACGCACGGATCATCTTGCTTGTCTCAAGCAGCGCGGAGAGCTATCCTACAAGAGATAATGACTCTGCCTAACGTTACATGCACACCCACGTGGGACTGCAATACAGCGCGGCAAATATGATTCCCGCTGAGCAGACAGATTCCACGCCGCCGCGCTTCCAGGCCACCCTGTACGTATTTCATCAAGGAAGCTCCCTGGACAGGTCATTCACATTGCTGGACTAAATCGCAAACTTTGATTGTTTTGCTATTTGATAGACGATCTACGAAATGTTGGTGGCGTTCTGAGGCAACACCCTTGACTGGCCACAGATAGAGCGCTTCAGAATTTGGCTAACAGGTTGCAGGTCATTGCAAAAGAACCTAGCCTGGCCCATGCTACCATACAACTCGGTTCCAATCGAGTGGGTCAAATATTTTCTTACCCCGATGGCCGCTCAAATCGCATGGGTGATCCGATCGGTGACATTCGGCGACATTGAGCCCCATCACTGTTTCACACCAAACCTTGCATTGGTGCTCCCCGGGTGAAACCGTTCCTGCCAAACGCCACTTACCAAACACTGTTCTTATCTCCAGGGCCATGTCAATCCCAAGGTCTTACTGAGTGACCCTCAGCGTCTGATTGTGGATGGTGCTTTACATATTCGTTCTGCGGACAGTGGCGACAACAAGACGCCGAGATCCTTCTGAGTAACTGGCCGAGTGGCAATGACTCGGCGAGGCCCGTTCCTGTTTACAGAAGTGCTGTGACAGCGCCCCTGACCAGTCTCTACACGTGCCGGTGGCAACCTGCTCAGCCCGCAGTCCGTATACAAAGTACACTCCAATACCTGTTCGACATCCGGCTCCATACACAATACAGATACCGTGCAATATTCAACACGCTCGGTGCTCTAGCATTCTTTCTAGAGATCCTGTCATCTTCATGACTGCCAACAACGATATGGCGAATGATATGGCTGCTCCTGAGTCTGTGGTCGTGACAGAAGGCGTTTCATCCACCCCTGAACTCTGGCAGAGGCTGGAAAGTCGGGTCCAGCCCACAAATATCACACCTCACGTCCGCATCACGGATGTTGAGCACAAGCAGCTACAAAGCTCTGTCAACATGGTATCAGTTGGGACATTGCAGCAGCTCACAAAAGGTCTGCATGAGAACATCTGCAGCACAGCCCTGGAGGATGATAGTCAGTCATCCAGTGCATACCACTCTACATATGCCTCGACACCAGGGAGCCTGTCGCCAAACCTCGAGGCTGTACCATCAGAAGATGGTATATCAGATCTACAACCACAGTTTGAAGCCGTACAACGAGCTTCGTTTGCCCAGGAGAGAATATGGTTCCTGCACGAGTACCTGACCGATCCCACAACATTCAATGTCACCATGTCCTACGCCGTGGACGGGCCACTGCAGCCCGTCGAACTTGCAACTGCCTTCCGAGCCATGTCCAATCGACACGAATCGTTGCGAACAGCTTTCTTCCTCGACTCGAGGGACGGAGACCCCCAGTTGTTCCAGGGCGTTCTGCCTGAAACACAGATCGAGATCAGCATTCATACTATTGGGGCGACCCAGAGCGTCGACGAAGTCTACACATCCGTCAGAGATCATGTGTATGATCTCTTTCGTGGCAAAACCATGAAAGTGGCCATCCTCACTCTCACCCCAACCACGCACTTCCTGATCCTTGGGTTCCATCACATCGCACTCGATGGCTTCAGCGCGCAGATCTTTATCAAAGACCTGCAATTGATATACTCCACAGGACAAATCCTACCGCCCGCTCCACGGTACCGGGACTACACACTTCTGCAACGCCAGTCTCTCGCGAACGACACCTACCGCGAGAGTCTGGACTTTTGGAAGAGCAAGCTCGCCAATCTGCCCCCACCGATCCCTCTCTTTGCCTTCGCCCGCGTGACAGCCCGCAAACCACTCAATAGCTACCGCGTGCATAGTGTGGAGAGAACCATCGGTATCTCCCTCGCATCGAAGATTAAAGAAACTGCACACAAGATCGGAAGAACGACCCCATTTTTCCTATACCTCACCACTCTTCGGGAGCTGGTTTTCCGGCTCCTAGGCCACGCACAAAAGGACATCTGCCTCGGGATCTCGGACGCCGGGCGAGCGGACAAGGAAGCTCTTCAGGTCGTGGGGATGTTCGTCAACATGCTCCCGCTGCAATTCCGAGCCGCTCGCCCTGGCCAATCGTTTCGTGACTTGTTATCCACCACCACCAGGCAGGTCCGCACGGCGTTGACGCATGCAGCCGTGCCGTATCAGGTGCTCTTGGATGAATTGGCCGTGCAGCGGTCGCCCTCGGAAAATCCGTTGTTTCAGATCCTGCTGAACTATAAGATGGGGTCGACAGAGGAGGCGACACTGGGAAGCTGTAGGGCGCAGAGCTTACGTATGGATGATGCCAGAACAGGGCTAGATCTGGTGGTAGAAGTGGAGGAATTTGTGGATGGGAATTGTAAGGTTGCCATTAGGGGGCAAGAGTATCTGTATGACAAGGAGAGTCTGGGGTTTATCATGTCCTCGCTCGTGAGCATTCTTGAGGAGGTTACAGCGCGGCCCAGCATGCCGGTTGCTAACCTCGCAATGTTTGATGAGAAGAGTATCACACATGCACTCGAGCTTAGCCGGGGTGAGCGCGTCTATACAGACGAGCACTTGCTGACAGTGGTGCATTTGTTCGATCGACACTGCAAGGCTCACCCCAGGGATGTGGCCGTCAAGCAAGCGGACGGTCAATTCTTGTCCTATGGGGAATTGCAGGGTCGTGCACAGGAGCTGGCCAGACAGCTACAGGAGCTTAAGGGGTCGGCTGCGATCGTTGTCGCCTGCAAGCCGAGCCTGGACACCATTGTGTCAATTGTGGGTATTCATTATGCCGGCTGTACCTACGTGCCGGTCGACATTGAGCATCCAGAAGAGCGACTGCGAACTATTGTTGAAGACTGCAAGCCGCGAGCCATCCTCTACCACGAGAATACCAAGGAACTTGCTACGTCCTTGGCCGGTGGCACTATAGCTGTTCCCACACCACAGTCCGGGATGGACGAGGTCTTTCCGATCAGGGCCAGTGTCAACGACACCGCGTATATCTTGTATACCAGCGGGTCAACCGGAAAGCCCAAGGGGGTTATTGTCAGTCACGGCAATCTGACATGCCAGATCCTATCGATGCGACAGAATGCATCTCTGGAGAGGGAGACAGTGCTTCACCAGAGCGGCGTTGCGTTCGACGCCTCAATTGATTGTGTTTACGCCGCTTTAGCCGGGCAAGGAACGTTGGTGATGGCTCCTCCGGAGGTGAGACGTGATCCGGTGCAACTAGCCAGTTTGATGGCCAGGGAGCAGATTACCTACACGCAGATGACCTCGTCCGAGTACCACAATCTCGTGGTGTATGGTGCAGAGCACTTGAAGCAATGCGTGACGTACCGCAACGCGTTTTGTGGCGGAGAGAAGTTTTTGTCCAGTCTGATCCCTCTTTTCCGGGGATTGAAGCTACCCGCACTGAGAGTGTGGAACCGATACGGTCCGACCGAGATCACTGTGTCGTCGAGCATGCAGATGATTGTCGGGGTGGATGGGCCAAATAGTAGCACAGAGTTGATCCCGTGTGGTCGTCCGTTGACGAACTACTCCGTTTTTATTCTTGATGAACAGCGCCGACCGGTACCTGCAGGTGTACCGGGCGAGATCTGCATTGGTGGAGGAGGCGTGGCCCAAGGGTATCTGAACAATGCCCGGCTCACGGCTAGCAAATTCGTCAAGAATATCTATGCTAGTGAGGATGACGTACAGCGGGGCTGGGACAGGCTGTATCGGACGGGCGATCGAGGCTACCTGCTGTCTGATGGGTCACTAGCGTTTCTGGGTCGAATGGAGGGATCCGCGCAGGTGAAAATCAGGGGACAGCGAGTGGAGCTGGATGAGATCGAGACGGCTATTGTGGCCACGTCTGAGGGAACGGTTTTGTCAGCAGGGGTGTGCGTCAAGGGCGACAATGCGAATGCGGTGTTGGCAGCGTATGTCGTCGTGCATCCTGATGTGCAAGTTGACTCACTCTCGTCACTGGTAGCGAGTCTCGCTCGGTCGCTCCCTCTCCCACGGTACATGCGGCCTTCGTCATTCATGGCAGTAGGCAAGCTGCCTCACACCACATCAGGGAAGCTAGATCGCCAGGCTTTGTGCAACTTGTCCGGGACGCCAATCGCGATCGAAACGAACAGTCAATTTGCTCCGCTGGGAGTGGAGGAGGAGGTCATGGCAAAGGCGTGGCGTGAGGTTCTTCCTGGCGAGGCAGTCTTGTCAGCAGAGTCCAATTTCTTCGACGTTGGGGGGAACTCGCTGCTTCTAGTGCGGTTGCAGAAGGTGATTGAGGAGTTGACAGGGAAGAGCGTGGCGCTGACGGAGTTGTTTTCAACTCCGGGGCTGTCGGCGATGGCCCGTCTTCTGCAGCCTCAGGAAGCCACCAAGGAAACCACCGAGGTTGACTGGGAAAGCGAGACTCGGCTTACACCTTCCTTGCTTGGGGCTATCCAGACATCTCCCCGGTACAGCCCTGATTCGAAAGTCGAGGTTATTTTGACTGGTGCAACGGGTTTCCTCGGTCGGACCCTGCTGCACCAGCTCCTCACCCATCCGAGGATCGCACATGTTCATTGCCTGGCCATCCGCAACAGCAGTGTATCCCGGCAGTCCCTGACCCGCAATGCCGACCACGCCGCTAAACTAACCCTGTACCCCGGCGACCTCTCCCATCCCACTCTCTCCTTGGATGACGGAGTCATCGCCAGTCTCTCAAACAGAACAGGGTTGATCATCCACAACGGCGCCTCGGTGTCCTTCTTGAAATCGTATTCCACTCTGCGGGGGCCCAACTTCCACTCCACTCGCTTCCTGCTCCAGCTGTCAATCGAACGGGGCATCCCATTCCACTTTGTCTCGACAGGCGGTGTGGTCAACCTCACCGGCCAACCAACCTGGCCCCCTGTTTCAGTCCGGAACTACCCGCCTCCGGGGGAGCAGGGGTACATCGCGAGTAAATGGGCCAGTGAGCATCTCATCGAGAACGCCGTTGAGGCTTTGCACCTGCGTGGGGTGCACTTACCGGTGGTGGTGCATCGTCCCGCAAGCATCGTCGCCCGACAACCCGGTACGCCCGGTACGTCGGAGAATGAACCCCCGGCCATGGACATCATGCACAATATGGTGCAGTATGCGCGGAAGATGCGGTGTTTCCCGGTAACGGAGGGAGTGAATTGGCGGTTTGACTTTGTGGCGGTCGATGCTGTTGCTTCGAGGATACTTGCTTCCGCTTTGGGGGACGAGGATGAGAGGGACGGGGTGAAGTATCTACATCACTGTAATGAGCGGAAGCTGTCTCCGAGAGAATTGAAGGAGGAGTTGGAAGAGGAGGCTGGGTGTATGTTCGAGGAGGTGGAGGTGGGGGAATGGGTGCGACGGGCCAAGGAATGTGGGATGGACGGGCTGGTGGCGGCCACGCTGGTGGATTTGATGGAGCGGCAGAGGGGGGTGGTGTTTACGGAGATGAGTCTATAGACTGCTGATGATTGATATTTCATAGTGGTTATCTAATCTGATCCGTCTGTTGGTCTCATGCACATGCAGATATACCCTTCCACCAGTGTTTTCTACTAGTCGACAGGGGATAGTAAGCTTCAGCCCAGGTAAGCAAAAATGAAGAAGAACACAGGAAAAAAAGAAAAAAAAAGAGAGAAAAATAAAAAAGCAAAAAGATAAAGCAAAAGAAAAATAAGCGCATTGCAAGACAGAGCCCGCCGTGATCATTACGCATGAAATCCATATTCCTGGTGCATTCCATCGATCACTGCATGTACTGAGGGACTGGCAATATCTAGCTAACCCATTTGTGGAAGTATCTGCTTTCCTTGTTCAGATCTTACAAGCAATAGCGATAGCACAGACCCTCAACGTGAATCCCGCGTGGCGCATTGCATGGCGCCCGAAGCCCGACTTTCCAACTCCCTACTATCGCCGTGTCAAATACAAGATGGGCTTTTCCGTGTCAGCTTGTTAAGATTTACCACGACAAGCATCCGCGTTTGAGCATGAATCAGTAGTAGCTGATGAGCCGCATAACCTTCTTGAACATGACACCGTCATGGCAAATCGAGCAATGTCTTCAGACAGATGATTGGTGCATTGAGTAAGTGCATGACTTGGGTACTTGGGGGCTGAAAAGTGGGTCCCGAAGCTGCGCTGGTTCTCACTAATCCGTTGTATAAAAAGGCTGCACTCCGTCGCAGATTCTTGCCAATGCCCAAGCATTCGACTCCTGCTTCAATGGCAACCAAGATCCCTGGTTCGGATCCCAGAGAAGAGACTGATGATGTCCAGCTACATCTTCTCTCTGCTCCCACGAAGGGCAGTCCAACGGCACCCCTCCACCACGAAATCCCTCGCTCCCAACCTCCAGATTCTGTCAGCAGAACGACACCCTCCCCATCTGCTTCCCAAAACAACGCCGGAGAAACTGCAAAACTCACAAGCATCGACGATTGGGCACTGGAGGCCGTGGCTCTGGTCGTCTCAGCCGGGAGCATTGTCGCGATCGCCGCAATTCTTAGCCACTTCGATGGTCGGCAGCAACCGGATTGGCCCCGTGTCTCTCTCAACTCGGTGATCTCATGGCTGAGTACAATCGCCAGCGCGGGTCTGATGTTCGCCCTCACCAACTCCCTGGGGCAGTTGAAGTGGGTGTGGTTCGCTCACCAGAAGAAGCGGCTGTCCGATCTGAAGCCGTTTGATTCGGCCAGTCGCGGGGGATTGGTTGGGAGTTTAGAGCTCCTGTGGCTTCTCAAAGGCCGGTTAGTCCGATGCTTGATCCAGAGAGCGAAGAAGAGTGCTCGCCTGCTGATCCGCAATCAGTCACTTCGCCGTGCTTGGTAGTCTTACTGTGATACTCGCGATCGGGTTCGATCCGTTCATTCAGAACCTCCTTCACTACGTGTCGAGCACCATTGAATCACCCTCTCAGATCTCTTTCCTCGGCGCCACATCCCTATATAATGTTGTTGGTCCAATAATCGCTGCAGATTGTAAGTGCAGCAATTCCCACGAGTAAACCCCCATGGTTCGCATCCATTCTAACCTGCTATTCAACAAGACCACTATGTGGACCCCATCCTCAAAGCCAACGTATACAGTGCCCTCTTCAACATCGATTCCACCGCCCCTTGGGCCATTCCCCAATATACCTGTCCAACGGGAAACTGCACCTGGGATCCCATATCCAACCTGGCCATGCGGGCCCTCTGCTCCGACGTCACATCGCGTCTCAATCGCACATGCACGGCCATCACCTCAGACATGCAGAACTGCACAGTGCACCTGGGGGGCAACGGGCCCACCGCCTGGTACCGCGAAGGCGGATCCACCTCGCAACCCATGGCGATGGCCGCCATCACCGGCACCGAAAGCCTAGTGTACACGAACAGCACCTTCCCGGTGATCCAATACGTGCTCGCTGCCGGATCCAACAACAACAACTCCCAAGCCACCTGGAAGATTGCGACCAGCATCGACAACAGCACCCGGTTCCTCGCCACGGAGTGCGCTCTCGAGCCGATCGTCCGCAGCGTCCGCGTCGCCGTCTCATCCGGCACTTACAAGGAAATCGTCGTGGCCGACTGGACCCCCTACTACTACCCCAACGACTCCGCCACCTTCGAGTTCGCACTGGCCCCGTCAACCGGCAACACGACTTTTGGAATGGGCTACGAAGCCTGGTCCTCTCTGATGACCTTCATCTCGACACTATTCACCGGATCCGTGACAGCCTCGGCAGGTACCTTCGGCTTCTCCGCCGGGCCCTCCTCCGCCTACGCAGTCACAGATACAATCGAAGCGATCTTCTACGGCAATTTCAGCACCACCGCCGCCTCCCCAGCAATCATGAGCTATAACGCCCGCAACCAGTGCAACGACCAGCTCAGCTGCGCCGTGACGAACGTCGCCGCCGCTATGTCCAAGACCATCCGGGACGCAGTGTTCCGGGGCAGCAGTGATCGAACTGGTAACCTCACTACCGGCCACACGATGGTAATGGTCCCGTTCGTCGCAGTGCACTGGGAGTGGATCGCGCTTCCGGCAGTGGTGTGGCTGCTGAGCTGTGCGGTCTGGCTCGGGACGGCGGTCCAGACGCGGCGGCTGCATCTGTATACGTGGGGGACGAATCCGTTGCCTTTGCTGTTTTTGTATCGGGCTACGGGGGTGCACGAGAACGAGGATGCGGATGCGGATCATCACCAGCAGGTACATCATCCGACTGCATGGACGGCGAGCGCCCTCGACCACGCCGCAGAGAAACTCCGAGTGAGGCTGGTTACGAATGCGCACGAGGTGGCGTTGCATGATTGACTGTATAGTCTAAAGTATGGTTCAGCTATTAAAAAGGGATGTGAGAGACAAAAAGAAGAAAAAAAACAAAACCAAAATGAAGGCTATGTGTAGCGATATGTGCTGGCAGAACGAGCTCCGCTTCGGTACTCTACTGATAGAGGCCCCGACAAAGCAAGTGAAATATGATTCTCCATGTACTTGCTATACAGCTGTTATGTAAATTACATGTTGGCATCAATCGAGGACCTTCGAGTCTCCCTCCTTCCGTTATAAAGGCTATTGATACTGTATAGCAGAGACTTTCTATAAGTGGTGAGCTATAGCTATTCACAGTGATTGTCAACCTAAGTGAGAAACATCGTCAAGATGCTGACCTCGATACGGCTGGGGTAGAAGACATCGTTGGGTGGGTATGAGGTTACTGGGTGGGCGGGTGATGGAAGAAAGGTAGGTGTCAACAGCGAACTATCATAATCTTCTGGTAAAACAACCTAGTGTAATTGGTCTACGGGGGATATTATGAGATGGTTGTAGGCCCCGTTGTGAGTTTCAAGCTCATCCACCAGATATATCTTGTTAAGCGGGATCCGACAAAAAATACATAGCCATCTGGAGGCGCAATGCAACCTTGGTCTAGTGGGCGTAGCGCAGCTGTAGTTCTCAATGCTCCGATCATGTATACCTGCTCTTCAACACTGTTTTGTCATGTGTTATAATGAACGGAAAGAAACCCACTACATTGACCGATGATAATAGAAGCTCTGTAGAGAACCGTGGTTTATTAGTATCCATGACTCATATTTTGACTTTGTCATATATTGTAAAGAGTTAATAGCAAATCATAAGAACAGGTTGTGTAGTGTAATGGTTAGCACCCAGGATTCTGATTCCTGTAATCCCGGTTCGATCCCGGGCACGACCTTTGCGCATGATGTTTTTTGCATCGTGCGGACCGCGGCTTCCCGCCCGCTCATCATATCCCAGAACACACAGTACACATCTCATGTCCTACATCAATCTGTTTTTCTTCACTTAAGATTCCTTTCTGATTATCTGCTCTTGTGAGATGTCATTCCCATCAATATCTCGTCAACACCTGACCCTCCTGATAGCCACCAAAATTAGAAAAAAAAATTCGTGAATCATTATTACCTCCCACTGTATACTACATCTATATCTATATCTATGTCCACCTACTCCATGCCGACCGGCGCCTCCCCGGCCGCCAAATTGCACTGCCGGAACAACCGCACCTCGCCCTCCCCGAACGCGCCGACCACCGAATGCAGCACCCCGCGGTTGTGGAACAGCACCAAATCCCCCTCCTCCCAGTCATGCGCATACACGTACTGCGGACTGATCGCCGGCCGCTGCAGTTTGTACACGATGTCGCGGACCTGCTTGAGGTCGTCGATGACCGAGCCATCCTTGAGATGGATCTTGCGCACGGCAGAGGGGTGGATCTGCAGGGCCGGGTGGCCGGTCACCGGGTTCTTCCACAGCATCGGCAGGATCTGGATCTTGGAGGGGTCGATGGGCGGGAGGTCGGAGGTGGGCAGTTCGCGGTCTTCTGAGTATAGGCCTAGGCCTGTGGGGAGGGCGCGCGCGGGGGACATCCAGATGTATCTGTTTCACGTGTCGGGGTAAGTAAGATGGAGGATAGTGTTGGGTTGGGTTGGGGAAAGGATCAGGGAACGTACGGATGGGGAGCGTATTCGATCCGACTCGTACGGACAAACTCCTTGTCCTCCTCGGAGAGCCGATTGTACATGCGCTCGCCGCTGACGAAGGCGGTCGTGCCCAGGGGCACGTCGAGGGTCTCGTTGGAGTCGTCGTCGTAGCGGAGGGTCTGGCGGCGTCCGCGCGGCACGCGGACGGCCAGCAGGGTGGTGACGCGGGGCGGGTGCAGGTCGTAGAGCGCGGCGTCGATGTGCCACCGGTAGAAGCGGGTGAAGTCGTAGTCTTCTGTGTCTGGGATGGGGTCGCGGTGGAAGGTGCGGTGGTGGGGGTGCTTGAGCTGGATGTCGGTCAGACCCTCGTAGCTGTCGACGTGGCCGTGCCCGATCACCTGCACCTGGGGCTGGTGCGGCACGGTCTTGAGGTCCGGGTGCAGGATGCTGCGTTTCGCGTCGATCGTCTTGCCGTGGCCGTACGATGAGGCCGACGGGTCGAAGCGCCGCGTCAGCTCGTACTGCGCGCGAGGGGTGAGGTGCTGCTGGTTCTTCACGACCACGACCAGATGCTTGTAGAGCGCATCGTGGATGGTGCGAAAGTCGTCATCTGCCGAGTTCAATGTTAGTACGGTTGTGTGGGGAGTTGCTGTGGGAGCGTGTACTGACCGGTCAGGTTCTCCAGGTCGACGTGGTCGACGACCGCTCCAAAGTCGATGTCGGAGCCGGGGGGCGGGGTCAATGGGTGGACAGTGGGTGCCATTCTGTCTGCTTGACTGGTTTTGCAATTCAGTCCGTCAACGATGGAGGGAAGAAGAGTCTACTATATATGAAAGCAAGGTGGGCTGGCGGGCGTCGCCGCTGGCACGGAAAAAGCCGATCTTATCCTCGAAATGGTAGCTTATCGGCGGGTGAGCGGACAGACTCGCCCGCACCTCGGAGTCCGAGAGGCCGAGCTGAGATTGTGCGAAGCACAAGTTACGGTGACTAATTATGCAGTGCCGGGGTAACCTGCTTTGCTACATGTCGTTGGCATGCGATCTCAGGCCAAAACCACGATTTGGCAGGCAACTGTATATCTTTACGGGCCTGTTTTTGGGAGTTTTCGTGTTCCTCGAGCTCTGATATGCAGTACACATCATCTCAGATGCTAGAGCATGCCAAAAAGCTCAACACACTGTGACTACATCGGCCAGGCAGCTCGGAACCAAGCTTCTACTAAACTTACTGAGCGGTGCTGACTTTGAGCCAAAAGCAGTAGTCCGATGACCAGGCTAATCCCATGACCCCGCGTCAACAATCCATCGCCGCGTCTCTTTCCATCAACAACATCGCCTCAACCATGATCCAACATCAAGTGCAAATTATATATTCATCTACCATCGTCGGTAGGCTATGTACAACACTGTCATTCCGCTGTGCCTAATGCAAGCATGCAACAACCGTGTCATCGTATCACCATAGTTCCTCATGATATTAGTACAGCAAACGAAGCAAATCCAACGGTCTATCAGTCATGCTCATCCCGTCCCCAAAAAAGCGCGTACGTGTGCACCACTCCTGAAGCCACAAACCTTTTTCATGCGAGTCTTTCGAATATCGTACCATATCATACCATTAAAACAAGGCCGTCTGTATGCGTATGCGAATGCGAATGCAATAACCAATCAAGCAAACCAAAAGAACCCAATGCATCTAGCTAACACTCCCGCAGGTGAACGGCGAGCGAACGTCACCGTCCCGGTAGTTGTTGATCTAGCATCCTCGTTAGCGCCTGTTCTGCACACCGGGAAAAGATTTGACAGTGAACTTACAATGTCCTGAACACTGGAATACATGCCACCGACCAGCACAATCAACCCGAAGATGAACACGAGGAAGTTGACGATACTCGTCAAGAGATTCTCCCGCGAGTACCACGGCCCCTCGCGGATGAGGACATACCACATGATCGGGGGCAGGTAGAACGAGAAACCCGAAGTGAACAGCGCGGACGCGATGGAGAGGAGGTCATCGAAGAACGGGATAGCCTCGGCGATGACCCACGACAAAATGGTCAACACAGTGATCAGGATCAGCCAGGTGATCCAGCCCTTGGGCGTGTTGATGTACCGGGTCACACTGTTGGCGTAGATCCGGCCGTGGATCAGACGGCCGGCGACGATGGTGCAGATCGCCCCGGAGATGAAGATGACCGGCAGCGCAATCCCGAAGGCCACCTTGCTGACCAGCCCACCCGCCGACAGCAGCGCGGGCGACTGCACGTCCAGGCCGACGAACGCATAGATGGTCGCGCCCGTCACCGTGTAGATTACAATCTGCAGGATGCCCAGCGACCAGATCGACTTGGTGAAGTCGCGCGGCGTGTGCATCTCATCCATAAATGAGAACAGGCAGCTTGCGAAGGTGTACGCGAACACGATATTGCTGATGGCGATGAAGCCGTCGGAGAAACTGGGGTCCCCTTGCGGCCAGGCCGACCAGGTGACGGCGCCGAGGCCGCCGGCCGAGTTCGTGCCCCGCACGCCCGTGGCGATGATGGTGATGCCGATGGCGGCAACAATCGACACGAAGTCCAGGTACCCTAGCCAGGCCATGTCGGCGAAGGAGGAGGGGATGGACAGCAGCAGCAAGATGATCGCCGACACGACGCTGAAGATGACGGAGCAGATGCCGCTGCTAGTAATGTGCTGCAGGGCGATGGTGCCCGTCAAGCAGTTGGAGCCGGTCAGGAAGATCAGCTGCAAGATCAACATGAAGGTGAACAGCTCGTTACCCCAGGGGCCCATCAGGAGAGCCCCCGCATCGCCGTAATGCCGGACAGCCGGGTAGGCCAGCTTGACCTGTCCAATCACATAAGAGGTGTAGATAGCGATCAGGCCGATGCCGACACAGCAGATCACGCCGGCGACCATGCCGAGCGTCGCGAACGCGGAGGGAATCGACAGCGAGCCTAACCCAATCGCCTCCACAATCAGCATGATAGTGAGCCCCTTCCACCCCAGACGGTGGTACTTGGCTTCGCCGGCCTCGATGATCTGCTGGTCCCCATCGTCCACGGCCTCGGGCAGCTTGCCCTCACCGAGCCAAGCACTCTTGCCGGATGACCGCGGCTTCGTGGTGTTCTCGCAGTCATAATCCTTGCCGGCGGGTGTGGCTTTGCCATCTAACAGTCCATTGGACGGGGGGCTCATGGTGAGCTGGACCGGTCACAGGTCAGATGCTAAGACTCCCGTTATCTCGGGGGGCACACGCTCAGGAACGAAAGAAGAAACAAGCTTCAGGATTGACAGCAAGCAGCAGCAGCAGCAGCAGTGGTGAGCATGATTCGCACGCAGTCTCTGGAGATGTGACACAAAAGATTTCTGATTCGATTTTACCCGCGGAATTGAGAGACGACACAATACCGGCGGGAAGAGCGATTACCCTGTTACCCCCCGCGGCGGGTCGATCTC